CTTTGTGTTTTGAGGAGTGATGTCTCAAGTCCGTCCTGCACTCTTGGATCTACGCTTATGTTTGGACTGACTATATAAATTGGTGTCCCCTTTATGGAGGAGGCAGGGAAAATGGTGCTGGCTTTATTGTCTGTGGGTGGGGCAGTCTGCACAGGAGCTGGAATTATCTGCATCAGGTCTATGGTGCCAAGGTAATCAGTGCTGGACTGCTGACATTAAAGGGACTGGTGCTGAGGTTACTGACACCAACTTCTTGGGCATTGGTGACTTTGTGGACGTTAAGGTAGTCAGCATTGACGGTGCTGACTCTGCTCACGTAATCATCACCTTCTTTCCACTGCCTGATTCTGGAGTATGAAGAGAGCTTGAGGGATTACTGGTCAATACTCATTTATCTGGCGTTGCTCTAGTCATAACTATCACCTTTGGATCTTAAGTGATCCACATGGATCACTAAATATATGTAGTCTGAGCCTAACATACCTGAACATGTGGGTACTGGCACAGAAGAACTTGCACACAAAGCACTTATCCAGGATATGGCTCCCTCCTAGACAGGAGAAGCATTGGTTGTGCCCATCCTTTATAGAGATCAGTCCACTGCAGGATGGGCAGGATTTGAACTCAGAGTTTGGACTGCCATGCAGTGTGGTGGTTGGCACAAAGCGCCTCACCTCACTATATCAAGGTGGGGGGGGGAGGATATAGGGGGGCAGGAGGAAGTTTGGCAACCCTCTTGCAATCTATTTTCTTATTTTTAGAATGGTCCTTATACGTGAACTGTGAAGAGAAGATATCACCAGGGATCCTAGTTTTCTGTGATTAAAAAAACTGAAATTCTCTGATTAAAAAAAACATATAAAGATCCTTATTTTTCCGTGATTAAAATGAAATGCTGAACTTGAATTTCCCTAGCCATTATATATAGCTATCAGTTGAACACAACATTTTATTGATATATTTACAATTTTAAACAAGTTCAAAGCCTGCCAGTGCCAATCATAATAATAAAATAAAATTAATAAAATAACGCAGTCACAGTGAAGTTTCTTTACTGTTGTTGATGTCCATGCTATTTCAGCCTCGTTTTCATTTCTTTTCATTCAGTTTATGTTTAGTGCTTTCCATGTGTTCTACAATTGCCTGCCTTCAAATGTAAGCTACAGCCTTGCTGCATACAGTACAAAACAGCACATTAGCATCAACCTGAAATTTGTCCTTGCCAAACTCAGTGACAGTCTTTAGAGGTGATTTTTTAAATTTTCAGCATCTTTTCATAACTTTAATTACTCACTTCTAGAGGCTGAAGTGAAATTTGAGATGCATTAAAACACGAACCCCTATACACCATTGAGTAACCTCTATACACTGGAAACAGTTGATTGGAGTATGTTTAGCTATGTACATTTAAAGCACATTCAAAAATCAGCCACAAGAGGAGGAGGTTGCGCACACTGAATAAGTAACACTGGTACTTTCACTAAAATTTAGTTAATAGTTAAGGTTAAGATTTGGTCACAGAGGTCGCGGATGTCACAGAATCCGTGACTTCAGCCTGCAGCTGTCAGGAGCTACAGGGTCCCTCGCCACCCGTAGGGGCAGGGAGCTGCAGGGTACATAAGAATGGCCAGACTGGGTCAGACGAAAGGTCCATCTAGCCCCAGAGGGAATGAACAGAACAGATAATCATCAAGCAATCCATCCCGTCGCCCATTCCCAGCTTCTGGCAAACAGAGGCTAGGGACACCATCCCTGTCCATCCTGGCTAATAGCCATTGATGGACCTATCCTCCATTAACTTATCTAGTTCTTTTTTAAACCCTGTTATAGTTTTGGCTTTCACAACACCCTCTGGCAAGGAGTTCCACAGGTTGACTGTGCGTTGTGTCAAAAAATACTTCCTTTTGTTTGTTTTAAATCTGCTGCCTATTAATTTCACCCCTAGTTCTTGTGTTATGAGAAGGAGTAAATAACACTTCCTTATTTACTTTCTCCACACCAGTCATGATTTTATAAGCCTCGATCATATCTCCCTTTAGCTGTCTCTTTTCCAAGCTGAAAAGTCCCAATCTTATTAATCTCCCCTCATATGGCAGCTGTTCCATACCCCTAATAATTTTTGTTGCCCTTTTCTGAACCTTTTCTAATTCCCATATATCTTTTTTAAGATGGGGCGACCACATTGCATGCAGTATTCAAGATGTAGGCATATCGTGGATTTATATAGAGGCAATATATGATATTTTCTGTCTTATTATCTACTCCTTTCTTAATGAGTCCCAACATTCTGTTCACTTTTTTGAGCAGCTGCACATTGAGTGGATGTTTTCAGAGAACTATCCACAATGACTCTAAGATCTCTTTCTTGAGTGGTAACGGCTAATTTAGACCCCATCATTTTATACATATAGTTGGGATTATGTTTTCCAATGTGTATTACTTTGCATTTATCAACATTGAATTTCATCTGCCATTTTATTGCCCAGTCACCCAGTTTTGAGAGATCCTTTTGTAGCTCTTCGCAGTCTGCTTGGGACTTAACTATCTTGAGCAGTTTTGTATCATCTGCAAATTTTGCCACCTCACTGTTTACCCCTTTTCCCAGATCATTTATGAATATGTTGAATAGGACTGGTCCCAGTACAGACCCTGGGGGACACAACTATTTACCTCTCTCCATTCTGAAAACTGACCGTTTATTCCTACCCTTTGTTTCCTAGCTTTTAACCAGTTAAAATCCATAAAAGCACCTTCCCTGTTATCTCATGACAGCTTACCTTGCTTAAGAGCCTTTGGTGAGAGAACTTTTCAAAGGCTTTCTGAAACATCTAAGTACACTATATCCACTGGATCCCCCTTGTCCACATGCTTGTTGACCCCCTCAAAGTATTTTAGCAGATTGGCGAGGCATGATTTCCCTTTACAAAAAACATATTGACTCTTCCCCAACAAATTATGTTCATCTATATGTCTGACAGTTTTGTTCTTTGCTATAGTTTCAACCAGTTTGCCTGGTACTGAAGTCAGGCTCACTGGCCTGCAATTTCTGGAATCAACTCTGGAGCCCTTTTTAAAAATTGGCATCACATTAGCTATCCTCCAGTCATTTGGTATAGAAGCTAATTTAAATGATAGGTTACAGACTACAGTTAGTAGCTCTGCAATTTCACATTTGAGTTCCCTCAGAATACCATCTGGTCCTGGTGACTTATTACTATTTAGTTTATCAATTTGTTCCAAAATCTCCTCTAATGACACCTCAATCTGGGACAGTTCCTCAGATTTGTCACCTAAAAAGAATGGCTCAGGTTTGGGAATCTCCCTCACATCTTCAGCCATGAAGACCGATGCAAAGAATTCACTTAGTTTCTCTGCAATGACCTTATTGTCCTTGAGTGCTCCTTTAGCATTTCGATCGTCCAGTGGCCCCACTGGTTGTTTAGCAGGCTTCCTGCTTCTGAAGTAATTAAATTTTTTTTTGCTATTACTTTTTGAGTCTTTGGCTAGCTGTTGTTCAAATTCTTTCTTGGCCTTCCTAATTATATTTTTACAATTCATTTGCCAGATTTTATGCTCCTTTCTATTTTCCTTACTAGGATTTAACTTCCACTTTTTAAAGGATGCTTTTCTGCCTCTCAATGCTTCTTTTACTTAGCTGTTAGCTGTTAAGCTTAGTTGTTTAGCTACTTTTTTAATTTGGGGTATACATTCAAGTTTAGCCTCTATTTTGGTGTCTTTAAAAAGTTTCCATGCAGCTTGCAAGGATTTCACTTTTTCCCCTCGGAGCTCCAAGCCACCACGGGCAGCAGGGTATCCCACAGCTCCTGGCCACCATAAGCGCTGGGGTACCCCGCAGTTCCCGGCCGCTGTGGGAACCCCCAGACCTCCCAGCCGCTGCTGATGGCAGGAGAACCCCATAGCCCTCAGCCACTGAACGAACGCCCCCAGGCCTCCACGGGCATTGGGGGAACCCCTCGAGCTCCTGACCGCCTGGCTGCCACAAGTGGGGTAAGCCCGACCGCTGCGAGCCCCCAGATCCGTGGGCGGCAGGGGTACCACGCAGCTTGCAGCCCCTGCAGGCAGCAGGGGACCCCCAGATGCTGCAGGCAGCTCCAAGCCCCTTGCGCAGCTGCCCCGCTTCAGGCGGTGTGAGGACCCCCAGATCCAGATTTTGTCAGGAATATTTTTAGTAAAAGTCACAGGTCACGGGTTCCCTAAATATTTTCTTTTTGCCTGTGACCTGTCCGTGACTTTTACTAAAAATATCCGTGACAAAATCTTAGCCTTATTAATAGTTAACGTGTTTTTATTTTTTAAAAAAATACAAAAACTAAAAGATTCTCTGTAAAAAGGCAAATTCCATATTTTTCTGCATTTTTCTATGGCAAAAGGATTTCTAGGATCTCTGATCATCAACAAATAGCTTGAAAAAGAACTGGTTTAGGGTCTCTGAAGAGAGTAATGGGTTGGACATTCATTGTGTTCCATCTCACTGCCATGGGTGGCAAGAGCTAACTGAGGGACAGCCAAGACTGCCTCAGCCTTTATGCCCTGGTATGGGAGCTTAAGGAGCCCTGGACACTGCTATTAAAAAAAAATCACTCTTGTGCTCATGAGGTGCATTCACACCTACATTGTGATCCATGCACTGACACATGTTTGAAGAATTTTTTTTTTTAAACCTAGGAAATAAAACACAAATCTACATTACAAGAAGAAAAGGAGTACTTGTGGCACCTTAGAGACTAACCAATTTATCTGCTCAAATAAACTGGTTAGTCTCTAAGGTGCCACAAGTACTCCTTTTTTTTTTTGCAAATACAGACCAACATGGCTGCTACTCTGAAACCTACATTACAAGATTACTATGGTGAAATTACAGAATTAATGTTACTATTTTCCATATTCTTTAATTCTTTAAATTGTCAACTTGTGACATAGCTACACACAATTTAACGAATAGTAAGGGTAAAAAAAGAAGAATAAAAAACCTCACATACCAGGAAGTTTAAGTTTCCTGCAGCAAGAATTGCAGTGGTGCTTAGCTCTGAAATTTTTGATTGCATCTTCTCCTAAATTGGCTGGACCAAACACCATATCATATGACCTTTAAAATAAAGCACACAAGCATGGTATGTATTTGTCCAAGTCAAACATTAAATACAGGTTAATTTTTTTATAACAACACACATTAATCTTACCTTTTTTCTCCAGCTTTTATCACAGAGGGATCTGTCAAATTTTCACCCACACCTTTACACAAAATATAAGAGTTAAAATGGATACAGTATACGAATAGATTAACACTGTAAACCAGAATCCCTTAGTAGTAAGGATTTCCAAATTTATCACCAAGAACGTAAATCAAGATAGAAAGTCAAAATTTATGGGACGATATTCACTCCTGTACAGATGGCTCCCACCTAAGCTCTATGCACCACTTAAATTCCATTCAAGCCCTATTTTGAAAGCTTAAGTGGTTCCTGAACAGCATGCAAGGTGAATTTTGTCCAGAGAGAATAAGATTCCTACATCTTAGCTATGAGTGTTTCCATGTCTGATGAACACTTGAGGATAAATTGAGACACTACAGATATGGGCTGAAAATGCCAACACATAAATGTTAGTATTTTTATTGTATACACCCTAAGAACATAAATAAGAATTCAACTTTTTTCCTAAGTGTTTCCTACAGCATTGTATTGGCATGTCAGCTAAGCCCACTGCTCATTCAAGTAAAGTAGACCAAAATTATTATGTAATGCTATAAACACTATTCACAATAATTCATAGAATCATAGAATATCAGGGTTGGAAGGGACCTCAGGAGGTCATCTAGTCCAACCCCCTGCTCAAAGCAGGACCAATCCCCAACTAAATCATTCCAGCCAGGGCTTTGTCAAGCCTGGCCTTAAAAATATCTAAGGAAGGAGGTAACGCATTCCAGTGTTTCATCACCCTCCTAGTGAAAAAGTTTTTCCTAATATCCAACCTAAACCTCCCCCACTGCAACTTGAGACCATTACTCTTTGTTCTGCTACCACTGAGAACAGTCTAGATCCATCCTCTTTGGAACCCCCTTTCAGGTAGTTGAAAACAGCTATCAAATCCCTCCTCATTCTTCTCTTCCACAGACTAAACAATACCAGTTCCCTCAGCCTCTCCTCATAAGTCATGTGTTCCAGTCCCCTAATTCATTAAGGTGCCACTGTAAAGAAAATTTAAACCTACCTTACCCCTAATCCCAATTTCAAAATAAGTATATTACCTTGCAGGTCAAGTACCAGCAACTCCCCTCTTGTATATTCATAAGTCCAGTGGCTGAATGCTAGCATGACCTCTTCTAGCATGTTAGTTGGAATTATTTCATCACCGTTGTTGTTATTGTATTTTCTAAATTCTCCAGTCATGCACTCCTCAACTGCAAACCACTGTCCAGCTGAGTGGCAATATAATAGGAAAACTTCCAGGAACCTTATAAAGAATATATTTCATAAATATTACCAAAACGAATAAGATAAGACAATTATGCAGTTGCTGAGTGATAAATATTTTGGTTTGACAAACTTAATTTTTAAATCTGGCTAGGTTATAAAATATGAGTTAAGCCTAGTCCTTGTTAAGTACCAACAGGAAATATTCTTCCCCAAGGTGGTGGCTGAAGGTTTGCATGTTGACACTTCTTAAATAGTGTTTTTGCAAGATGTACTGAATCCCAGGACGCACTTTTTTCGAATGGTAATATGCATAAAAATATACTTCACTAGTAGAAAGTGTGCAGTGTCATGAATAATTTAACACATTTACCTTGGAGAATATGGAATGGATTTAGGCTTCATTTGATTGAAAGCAAACGTGAGTTTCTGTGCTGCCCTCTGCTGTTGAATTTCCTACAATTGAAAATCCATACAGTACTGCATTAAATAATGTAGGGGAAAATTTGGGGAATAAAATAGCAGCAAGAAGGTTAATGTCAATCCTTTTACTCCCTATCAGAAGTTGCGTACAACTACACAACTGTTTTAATTCCGTCTGTATCAAGAGATTGAACTATTTGACACAAAATAAAAATCTATTGAACAAGAAATGTTTAAATTGGCCTTTGGTTTGTGTTAGGGTGACCAGATAGCAAGTATAAAAAAATTGGGATGGGGGTGGGAGGTAACAGGTGTCTATATAAGAAAAAGCCCCCCAAATTGGGACTGACCCTATAGAATCGGGACATCTGATCACCCTAGATTGTGTAGAACATTAGAAGCATCAGAACTTTGTTGTATACTAGTTACTGAAAATTTATTTTTAATATTTTTGCCTGTCAATGTCTAATAATTGTCAAGAATAAAACTTACTCTCAAACAGAGGTGTAACACTGTGTCCTCTTTGTAAATGCTTGACCAAGTATTCACAACTTCAGGAAGAAAAGATTTGATGATATAAAGATGTCCTGATTTCAGAATATCATATTCTGACCAAGTGCATGCTACTTTAACAGCTCGACGTAATCCACCTCCCATCTCCTCTTTACTTAAAAATTCAATTTTAGCACAGAGTCCTAGCTGTGACCAGGAAGACATGCTGTTGTTCAAGATGCTGGGAGAACTTTCTTCAAGGCGATACACAGTGACTGGCTCACCTGTAACATCACAGTACAATAGTACATTTCTTTTCAGAGTTCATGACAAACAAGGCTGCAAATATATAAATATGCTTTAGACATGGATAAATCAAGATGTTAAATTTCTAATGCAACTGGGAGCTCGTAACAGATTGGGAGAACCCTCTCTAATCTCTTTCTTAAACCAGCAGGGGACCATGATGTTTTTGCTTCTCTCATTGGAAGTATTAATCACACAGTTTAAATCGAGCAAAGCATGCCTAGTTACCACAGTGATGGAAACCTTATGAAATAAGCATAACAAGGCAGAAAAAAGTGTCAGTTTGAAGAGCTTTTCCATACAATTTACATCATGCTTTTCAGAGAAGTTTTATTACTCTGAAGACTACTGGAATTAAGTCATACAGTTTCCTTTAAGCCAACAAGCTGCATTAGTAAAGATGTGATGACATAATTGAAGTCTGCACTTTGGGAGTGTCTTGTGAGATACTGATACTAGACTTCTATTTATTGTCCTGTAATCTATTTTTGAGATGCTGCCAAAATGGTTGATCAAGTTTGGTCTGCCCATTCTGTATTAAAAATAATTGAGCAATTTTTTAAAGTTTGCCAGAGTTCTTAATGAACCAATATTAAATCCTCATTCTGACCTCCCTTCCACCTACTCCAGTAACAAAGATTAAGCTTCTTACCTCTTGGAGGCACAGGAGTGAATGGAATGCTTTGTGATAATCTCATTAAGTTATTTCTTTCCACAGCTGTAGAGAAAGGTTATAGAAATCATGAACTCTCAGACCTAATAAAAAGAAATGTGAATTTTTAAACTTAAACTATTAGTTTTATGATACTGACCTGAGTAGTAGTAAGTGGTGTCCATGATCGGCTTGAAAGGAGAAGCAATACCTACAAAAGTCAAGAAAAAGAGACGAGATACTGAATACTGCACAAGCATGTGCCTTAAAACCTCACACAGTACATGCAAAGAGTGCATTACTTCTACTTTTTGCTTCCTATGTTCTCAAAGTGAATACTGAGCTAAAAAAGAAAGTTGCTTTGCAAATCTCAGATATTACATTTAGTTCTTGAATATCTGATAAATTATGAAGCCTGTATGTGCAAATGAATGATTTTTTAAACCTTATGACACTTATGGATTGTATTAGTCATGTATGTCTACGACTGAGGATAACTATTTAACACTCACTTTTACGCCTTCAAAAATGCAAAAGAGCACACATTCCACAAGCAGAAAAAAAAAGAATTAGTTCTCTCGCTAATTGCTGCTTTCAAAATCCATAACTTACATTTTTTTTCTAGCACTCTAAAATAAAAGAGTCACATTCTGTTTGGTTTTCACCTTCATTCATTTCCATATCCTATCATCTTGTAATTCATTTCTGCTACCAAATGTTAAATATATTCTCATATTAGAAAATGCAGTACATGTGTTGTGTATGTTGAAAATGTTCGTCCGCTTGTTTGCATTAAGGCAAAAAAGCTTACCATTCAAGGCATCTTCTTCCGAAGGCCTGTAAAAGAGAGAAAGAGTGTGACACACAAAAGTATTGGATGTCACTTGTAAAATAGCCACTTTTTTTATTCTTTATGATTTTCATACAGCAGCCTGGAGTCACTTTGTGGAGCTTACAGTATTGTTTTACTACTTTATTCTACTTTTCAAGGACAGTAGCAAGTTTCTTAATTATTAAAACACACACACACACACCCACACACACACCCCCGATTAGGTATTTATATGTTGTCAAAGCATTACTATAAACTCTTCATGTATGACAGCATATCACCTTTTCATTACAATAGCCAAATCCCACAGAGATATTGAATTGAAAACTACCTGGTTCACAGTTTCTATTTCAATTATCAGATTATTAAACCTATGGCTTTATTAAACAAACAGTTAACTAAATGGGATGAATTACTAATGAATATACTAACTGAGTAGTTTCAGGGAAGGATTCACAATAAAAGGTAGGTTAAGGATCCAGGAAGCTAAAAATATATAGTTAAAAACACATATTCAGTAACTAGTGCTAGCGTCAAATTAGACCATGTATGCAGTGTAGTTGTAGCCCTTTCAGTCCCAGGGTATTAGAGAGAGACAGAGATGTGACTCGAAAGCTTGCCTCTCTCACCAATAGAAGTTGGTCCGATAAAAGATGTTACCTCACCATCTGGTCTCTCTAAATTAGGCCATTTTATTTTGGTGCACATTCTACCCTCAGACATACGTGTGGCTCCATTAACTTAAATGGAACTTGTCAATACGTTTCAATGAATAAAATTAGTCATTTATTAGGGAAAAATACCACAGGCCAGCTCTTTTATTTAACTTACATGAATAGCAGTCATTCAAATGAAACAAATCATGCTTGTAAACAATTTAATGAAAACATAATTTATTCGCTTTTTCACTTTGTTTAATTATTGCTCATTGAGTTCAATGTAGCTGTTCTCCAGTGGCATATAAAAAATTAAAAGGGCATTAATGCAAGACTATTGTAAGACTTGATCCACTGCAAAATAGTTGACTATTTGCAATATGGTGTTTCAGTTCTCCCTTTGATTTTTAAAATGCCTACCATTTTCTAGTTTTTAGAGATTACACTTCAGAGATTCATGCTCTCATATTTATTTTTTAAGTCAACTAGAATATTTCAGAGCCACTGCCATAGTAACTTAAATGTCAAAATTAAAAACCAAAGCCCTAAAGAAAGATAACAGTGCATCAGAAAATATTTGGACAATTCTACCACTACTGATTAGAAAACTTACTTACATTTGATTGCTACTTGAAGGTCTACCTTGTAACCAATCCTTTAAATCAAAAAGAAAAAAAGACAAGTATTTTTCCCCCAATACTGAAAGCAGAATGAGTTTACTTAACCGCTTTGTATAGTCTTTGTTAAGATATGAAAATAAAGGTACTACTGGCAGTATTTCTCAGGATTGTATTGATAAAGTAGTTGAAGTGAAAGATTCAAATATAGTGGAAGGATATCATAACATACTGCAAGGATAATATATTAAGATATACAAGAACAAATAACTGATTAACACAATAGAAAAGGTGACTATATCCACCATGGTTATTTAGTGGATTATTTAAACCCTTTTACTTCTAAGTGAGAACATTCTTTATAAAAACAGTGAAGCAGCACAAGTTAATGCTTATCCTCACAGAACTGTACCAATAATCTTCACTAATCCTTATCCTTCCTCCCACTCAAAACAGGACCTCTGCTGTTTCCTCCTGAACTTACTGGAGAACACCCTAAACTGAGCATTACTCTTCCATGTAGCCCATCTATTTTTTTCCTCTCTGTACATCACCTTGTTTCAGCTTCATACTGATTTCCTTTAGACCTAACACTCATATGTTCCCAGCATTCTCATGATGATTTCTGACCCGACTGTTGAGTATCAGTAGGGAATCTAGTTCTGCAGGGAGCATGTGTCAAGAGATTGGGGCAATGATGGATATAGTCAGATCTGGATTCCTTTTCTTTCGCTGTCTAGTAAAAGCCCTCTTTGAAATCCTGCAATGTATCTCTTACTGAGCATAATCTCCTCAGAAGACAGACAGAACCCAGTTTTATAGAGGTACACTTTTTTTATTTTAACTAGGCAAGCAAGTTCACAGTGAATACCACTAATGGATGTCAACTGGTCTACATCTGAAGTAGGTATTAAACTGTATCTCAATAAAATGTTTTATTTTAGTTATAATTTTATAGAAATTATTTGAGAAATCTGATAAAACTGTCAACTGGAGTATACAAACCGTGAGCAATGCAGCCTTAGAGTCTACTTGCTGAGTATCTTCAGCTGATGCTCTTCTACTTTTGTTGTGAACTAGAAAAGAAATGAATTTACAATTTGACAAGAGAACCAGACAAGTATGTGTTTACCAAAATAGAGGATGTCTTAAATCTTTCCTAACAAAGTGAGCAACTGAGCCATTTAATCTAGCCCCCCAAAAAAGAATTTAAACACTCACAAAATTTACTATGTGTAACTCGGCATGTCTTTTAAAGGACAAAAACAAAATGTTTTGAAACATATATGTAAAGTAAGTTTAAAAGGAAACACCCTCACCTTAAAATCTAGTCATTTGTAAATAGATGAATTATTAGTTTCAAGTAGTAACATCTATATCTCCCTGTAATTTTTGTCATTTTAAAGGTTACATTTTCAATTTTTATTTTTATTTTTTTTTAATAAGAAACTTGATTCTCTCCTCAGTGTAACTATGTGAAAAAGTACATGAACAGGGGAACCTGACTATCTTTGGAAAAAATAGTACAACTGACTAAACAAATGCACAAAGTTAAAAACTTTTAGAATATACAGAAGATTCTTCCCTACTCTCAGTTAAGAGTACTCTGGTGTTTCAGGTAACAGCAGGTTAAATATACATTCAGAGACAAGTTTGATTTTTATGTTGATGCACCCTTTGAAATAATGATTAAGTATTATGCATCATTTATAAAATTCAGAGATAAAATTGGACTACCAGAAAAATTAGCACACTTACATTGTTCTGAATGAACTGCCAAAGAGTTTTTGTGATATTCTGTAAATCCATCTTTAGAATTAACCTCGCTTAGGCTGCAATCAGCTTGAAGACCAGCCTGTATTATAAACACATACATTGTTATGAGTCATCATTCCTGAAGTACTTTCCCCTTCCTGCAGCTTGGCAATTTGCTTAGTGTTCAGCATATAACTATTCTCTCTCTCGTACCATCTTTCAAATTTACAGCATGAATACATTTTAAGGGTACCTTTACAGCTTGCTAAAATCACACATGCTTTCTTGTTAATTCAGTACAAATTTTAAAGATAAACACTTATTTATAGCTATCTTGATTCTAATAATTTTAGAATAAGTAATAAAAACTAGATATATGTTTGAGGAGAAATAAAAAGAGCTACAGTAAACAAAGATAACTGAAAAATGTATTAAACATCTCACACCTTTAGAAACACTAAGTTCTGCTACTCATATCTGTACATATTTGGTAATATTATTAGACTATTCAAATATAATTTAATTATGGTACAATTTATAAGTTAATTAACATTGTATTTTTCAAATTCTAATTCTTAAAATCTGTAAAATTAAACCAAGTTAAATTTTGAAAGGAAATATGAATTTAGGATTTACCACCCCAGATTCTGAATATTTACTACTAAAGAAAAGTAAAGTAAATTGACACTGATATAGCACTGTTTTAAATGTACTGTAGCCATATGTAAAAAGTGAATTAGCAGCTCCCATTGTATAATTCAGTGTTACAAATTAAAACTAATTTTCAAAGACATCAATAAGTCATTTAAATATTCTAAGTCATCTTCTCCAGAAAGCTAGAAAAATCTTAACACTACTTCTCTACCTCTAACATGACAATTTAGAGGCTGCATATGTTTAACACATTTGATCACCAAATAACAAGCAAAGACATGGTTAATGTTTACAGGCTTAAAGAAAGCCAAAATGGAATGAAAAGGAATACACAAACTGACTCTTAGTAGACCAAAGTGGAGACACTTATTTGGGTTGATTACTAGAAAGTCTGGCATTGATCAATCCAATTGTTTAAATACCTTCTCCAGCAAAGACTAAAGGCTTGTGCTTGTGCTTCATCTTAAGGATGTGAGCAGTCCGACAGAAGTCAGTGACACTATTCACATTACATCTTTGCGGCATCATGGCCTATGCAGGGAGTAAGTGCATCCTCAGTTTGTGCAGGTGGTAGGTTTTAACGATAATTAAACATTTTCTGAACACATGCAGAGCCACAGCCAGCCCTCAAAACAATATTCAACTTAAAGTTCTGTTTTTCTAGAAAAAATTAGAGATACTACCTAATCACAGAATATATTCATATATGTTCATGCATTTCAGCTCTAGAGCACACTACCAGTCACCTGAAATCCAAAGATTATTTTAATAAAATCCACAGATCCATGATTCTAAAGAGCAGAGGCATAGAATTTGGAAGACTGTGAACTGGACTGATTTTCACTGTTGGGAAGTTGTAAGCCTTTTTAAAAGCAGTTCTACTTCTAAGGTTGGCTTGACAAAGATTATTTCTTTCATATTCCAAAACAGAAATTTTATGTATGCACTTAGAGGGGGAAGTGAGTGTCATCCATAGCTCCAGTCTCATTGCGGTATCTAGGCTTCAATTACTCACTATCATCATTATATCATTTGGTGTCTTGCAGCCATGGCTTTGCAGTGCTTACATTAGAAGTAGGAACCCATCTCCCCATCAATCAAGCAAAGTGTAACTCTGTTAAGTGTCCTGAAAATGCTGGTATGCTCAAAAAGGAAGCCATGGTACATGTCCTGATTCTACTGATATTGGAAATGCTCAGAGCTGTCAATATCAAGAAGTTGTTCAGTGGTGTTCGGTTCCAGAAAACAGGTATCCCTAGCTAAGTTCCCTCTAAGCTACGCGGCCGTGCAGCAGCCTATCAAGGGCCACGCAGGCGCTCGCCTTTCCTCAAGCCCTGGAGCTGCTGAGGCCAGGGAGAGGCACCTCTCCCCCCACCCAGCCCAGGTGCTACTGCAGTGAGAGAGGGCTGGAGGGAGTCCTCTCACCCCACCGTGGCCCCGGGGCAGCCTGCAACCCAAACCCCTCATCCCCGGCCTCAGCTGGAGCCCTTCCCCGCCCCCCCACCTCAACCCTCTGCTCCAGCCCTGAGCCCCCTTCCGCACCCTGAACTCCTCATCCCTGGCCCCAGCCCCAAGCCTGTACCACCAGCTGGAGCCCTCACCTTCCTCCCCTTTACTCCCCCCCAACCATCTGCTCAAACCCTGAGCTCCCTTCCACACTCAACCCCACCCCCACCACACATCACCTCCATATTGATGCACATAACAAAATTCATTCCGCACATGCATGGGAAAAATTAGAGGGAACATTGGTCCCTAGAGACTTGCAGCTAGAGTGCTCCAGCCTGATGTGCTGAGCTGACTTTGCAGCCTCCAAAAGGTGAAGAGGGAGCATTTGCCTACAGATAGAGCAAAGGGAAACCAGCTTCAAGCACCTACACAGAATCTGTTGTCGCCTCTGTTATTCAATATGCCCCCAACTGCAGGCCCTCCTTCACCAAGGTAGAAGTTCTGCACATCCCATCCCCTGTGGTGCTTAAGTACCTCTAGTACTGCAGAGGACCTGCTAGCTCCCAGCTTTACAAAACTTGCTAGATTGCTGGGCTAGCTAAAATTCTCCAATGCTCCCAACAGCAGTAAAGCCTGCAAGAGAAGGGATTCCCTCCTGAAGACAATCTAAGGAACAGGGGTGTCAGGCACCTAGCATCCTACTTGCAATTAAACATTAACTTTTAATTAGCTTGCCTGAGATCTGGCCCTGGGTCAGTAAAACTTGAGATTAATTTTACATCCTTTCAGATTTTTTGCTTGTATATGGCAAACAATAATTAGAACAATTTGCTAATTTTGGTTAAGCATTTTTTTTTTTTTTTAAAAAGGGCATAATCATTTATGAACAGTTTGTTAGATTAACTTCAAATTTGGGAGAGAAATTCTCGGTTGGTCATAGACCAGACTCCTATGTGAGGGGGTGTAAGGATTTGAGTTTTTTTGGGGGGGGAGGAAAGGGGAAAGGAAGTGGGAGTGTTGAGAATGGAATTATAATGGAAAGAAATTCAACCTTAAACTATGGTGCAACTGCCACCAATTGTGGGGAGTGGGGCTATGAACATGCAAATCAAAAACGTGATTCACTCAGATAAGTATCAACGTGCTTCCGCTCTTTGGTGTAACCTCCACTATCTCCAAAGTTTTCCTCTTCACACCAGGGATTCTTGAGGTTCTCCCATACTTCATTTTAGAACTCATGCATGAATGAAAGCACCGAGCCAGATGCAATGGTTCCTCAACTGTAACAAAAATCAAAGGCTTCCCAAATACCTGATGTTTGGTCATCTCCATCCCCTCCAGAATAGCTTTCTTAAAGTCCTCCTGTTGCTCCTGTGGAAGAAAATGATATAATGGACTGAGTTACACAAATTAAAATGTTTCAAGGTCACATATTGTATTAATTGAGTGCTTCAGCAACAAAAAAAAAAAAATAAAAAAACCTCTTCAGAACTCCAGTTTTCTAGAAGCGTTATGAATGTACACTAAACTGGAATTCTCCCAACTACATATTTAAAGCCTCACCTCATCTATTTGAGAATCTGTTGACATGACTACAAGTGGTTCCCTATTCTCTCTACTACAATGAGCAAACCGGATCTTCCACATTATAGTAGCTATAGATTAAGATATCCCTCCCATATCCACCTCTTACTTTCAGTGGAAATTCAAGTTATGTCTTGAGTCTTGACTATTTAAAGCGGACGTTTCCAGTAACATAAACAGATGCATACTTTATATCAGCATTCAGTACAATCTTTTAGTAATACTCTTGGCTAGCTCAGTGCAAAGTACATCCACCATCTATTCACGCTCTAATAGCAAGGGTCCATCACAAGGTTGGTCACAGATAACCATCTAATCTTGAAGTTAATTCAGAAGTAAGATTTTCTCCTTGGAATTAGGTGTGAACAATTTTAAAAGAAACTGTCTGCCAGAGGAAGTGAATTACATTATGTCATCTTATTTTACAAGTTGTAAGACATGCAGACAAATAGTGAATTTCAATCTTAAATACTGCAGTTTGCTTTTAAGTTATGAATTTCAAATTGGCAGTGTTTCATTTTATAGCAATGTTGATATGTCGATAATGTAATAATCAAGATTGGATGTTTTTCTAAAAGATACAACTTCCCCAAAACAATCTCCAGAGTGTATGGCCTGTATTATACAGGGGTAAGAACAGATGATCACAACAGTCCATTCTGGCCTTGGAATCTATATTATTTTTCTAATAAAGTCAAGGTATCATTTTTAATTTATTTAATGGCAGGACTAATGTTGGCCTCTGTGAGGTTACATACCATCAAATCCTGTTAAATATTTACTAGTTTCATATTTTTCAGCAACAGTAGTTCCTCCATAGTTAAGGCTGCATTGTTACTGATTGTTAGTAAATTTCTTTTCATATTAGTTTTGCAAAAATCTATTCTTATATTTTCAACAATGTACTACAAACTATACATGAAAAAGATGTCAATGTCCACATGAAACCACTGATTTCAATTTGAAAGTAAAAATTTCAGTCTTACCTCAATATTAACATTTTTTTCTTTAATTTTAATCGCTGACTCCTTAAATTGTTGCAACTCCATGCTGTCTCTGTGACCTTTGACCCAGTAAATTGAAAAACAGAGTATTCAGTATCAACAATAACACTGAAAAAATTTGGAACATGCCAGATATTGTTATTATGATGGGGACAGAAACTGTAATAAATGCTGCCAGTGTTTTCATTGAGAAAGACTTATAATGAAGAACTCTGAAGTAAATAGATATAAACGATGGGTTAGTAAAGATACGGAACTGTTGCTTTTCCTACATTAAAAAGTGTAGAAATGAAATCCATACAATTTAAAAATATTACTCCTTCAAGAAAATAAATTAGATTAGTTTCAGAGGAAACTTCCATATACCATTTTATTTGATATTCTGAGTCTCACTATTTTTACATAAATGTGAAAAGTATAGAAAAAGCAGAGTTTCCTGCGGTAGGTTTTTAAAATATACACTTCATCCTAATAGTTACAGGAAATATTTTCAGAATTCCACCAATGCGCATGGTTTTATAATGAAAACAAACATAATTGATTGACAATATAAAGCTATACCGCATCTGAATTTCTATAAAACATATATATTATGGATGAAGAGTATATTCTAAATTCCAGAAGAGAAAAGGACCATATAATGAAGGCATGGCTCAAGTAAAATAAGTATACTTAATACTTATCCTTATTAGTGCTGTGGTACATTTAATTAAAGACCTGACTGAGCTATACAGTCGGATTTCAAATCCTTTGTGTTTTCTGCTTTAAAAAAACACCACCACAAACTAATAAAGTATAAAGGTTTTTCTGTATTATAATGAACCCTGTTAATGATTACAATTAAATGCCTTGCCACCCGCCTACAAGTCAAAAAAATATTACTTTTTGAGCACCTAAACATAATGGCATCAGAACACACCTCTTGTCTAAATTTAAAACTTAACTTTAAATAGTAAATATCACTTGGAAAATATGTTTTAGGATACCCCTAGTCAATTGCTTTTGCAAGATAACACTTGCACAGGTGCCTGACAGATTAAGACTGTGATCCTCTACATGGTTTTGGGTCTAATTTAAAGTATTTGGTCTCTAATTTACAGTATTTAGTTAGTAAACCAACACCTACTTTTGAAATGAATCTGCCACTGTTTTATGAATCAAAGAGTGTCTAAAGAATCTAATAAAAACATGCACCTTTTTACTGTTACGTAAAAGTTGAAGCAGCACATAACGTTGGAACAAACAAGGACTTTGGAAAGTTTTCAAAATATTATTGTACTACTACAGTATTACTGTAGATAACAGTGGTAGATCCTGGTCACAGAAGTGTTGAGGAGGATAGCATAGTAAGGATCCCTGAGCTTGACACAGATACCACAAAGATATTTATTCATGATTCCATTAGCCAAAACAAGTCTTTTGCAATTTCTCAAAAATAGACAATATTTTTTGCATGGACGAAAAGTTGGACCTTAAAATTAGTCCTATGAGAGTTCACCTGAGCTGTAGAGCTGCTAACATTGTTAAGAAACTGTTATTTGTCAATAGCTGTCCAATGTTTGTCGGAAAAATATTGTCTATGTGACAGAATTATAAAGAAATGATAATTTTAAAGTTAAAAAATATCCATACAGTTTAGAGAAAATAGAAAGGTTTAAAGCAAAACAGCAAAGCACAATGGTAGAATAAAGTCACCTGCAACCAGAATAAACCCAAAATACCGTACAATTCTTGGTAAATCAAACCTTCTGGTTTCGACTTGGTCCATTGTTTCTGAAGTAGTCCTGTAATGATGTTAGAACTTAAATCTCTATATGGTGGTTCCATTGCTTGACCATGCTGGCTTTTGGAAACTTCATCTTTAACATTCAATTTTTCATGTGAACCGCCACTTGGGTCACAGTTTACAGTTGATGCTTGGTTGCTGGATGACAGAGGTAACTTCTTTTGGACACTGTTCTCAGAGGACTGCTCACCATATGTATCACTTCTTCTGCTGCAGTTGTAATCATTAGTGTCATCTTCATCATGAATAAAACCACAGTTAACGTATCCTCCACTTTCAACACAAGGCTGGGTGAAAGCAAGGCAAGCAGAGCCAGAAGCAAGAGGATAAAAGCAGCTACTAATGACCTCAGGACATTCACAATCTACTTTGTTATACTTACCCACAAATGCACCAAATTCTACGTTAGTATCTCCTTCTGTAGCCTTAGACAAAATTGCTGCTTCATTGTTTGCTGCAGATTCCAACTGACTTTTGCAACTCGGCTGAGATGGAGTGCTAACAAATAATTTAGCTGTTGGGGATGTTAGATGTGGCACGCTGTTTGATGAATTGCCTAATTTTTTATTTTTATTAATGGATTTTGAGTTCTCTTCACCCTGTAATCTTTGTCGAAGTTCTGGAGGAGAAACAGCACTTGGAAATAAGGCACTGCCTGAGGAACCTGCCTCTTGAAAGTTTAGTTCTTCCCCCCTGGAAACTGGAGCTAAATCCTGACCAATTGTCTTATGTTGAATATCTCTTTCACTGTGCATAGAAATGTTACATAATAAAGCATTACTACTTTCGAGGTCTCCTTGTGGAAAAGAAGAACCAAACACATTTCCGATGTTGTGTTTTTTCCATACTGAAGATCTGAGAGAACCATCATCAATAAGGTTTTGTGCCAAATGTTTTGAAATGCTTAACTCCCGGGTAATTTCATTATGGACTTTGCTGGCTTCCGAAGCCTTTTGTGCAGTTAGTGTTTTTAGAGTATCAACAGTGAGAGCAGAGAGATCCTGTAGGTGGCCAATCTGAGAATCTAAAGAGTTCAATGACCGTTTGATGTAGTTGACTCTATCACCAACTTCTTTTATCTGAATGCACATTTGTTCAACCCTAAAAAAAAAATCAAATTATAAAAGGTAAGCTTTTTGTTTTCAAACTGTAAAGAAGAAACACTTTTGCTATACTTCTTTTTGACAGTTTGAGAAAGGAAAATGTATCATTTGTAAATTTTAGGGTAGCTTAATTGATTTCAGTGGATTGTTGTAGAAAAAGGGATACTTGTACATACTTAAGCAACAAGGAACAAATGCACATCAGCAACTTGCCTACAGTACTATTGTTTAACACCCATTCCAATACATTTGAGAAGACCTCTTTAAAGAGACAAAGTCTCAGTCTGCTATGCACGAGCAAGTGTCAGGAATATAGACAGCATAAAACAGTCTGTAATAATTTCTATGTAGCCAAGAAAAAGTGTCCTGCAACACTGTCATGAATACTTTGTACATGCAGCTATATGTATTGTACTTTTCCTGATAACAGGTTTTAATTTAAATGTTTACGTTTCTACATAAATTTTCTACCGTTCAAATGTGACTCGAATTCTCTCTTCACTTCCAGAGTGGAATTTATCATCTTTTTCATTGAAATACATCTCAACACACAACTCTTCAAAGTCATGAAGTTTCTTTTGGTCTTCTTCTGTTAGGAAGAGTTCTAAAGAAAGAGAAAGCAACATTTCAGGAGATTAGTAGGCTATGATACATCACAAATGCTTGAAATAAGTAGCCACATTGATCAATGAGATAGGGTAAATGAGGATGCTACCTAGCTCTCTAGAGCTGGTTGAAAAATGGGTTTTACCCATGGTGGAAAACTTCAAATTTTTAACAGGGGGGGAAAAGTTGAAAACTGAAAATTTTCAGAAAAAAAAACACCTCATTTTTTGGTTGGAAACCAAAAATTTCAATTATGAAATCCCACTGAGGTTCATCATGGGAGTTGTAGTTTGGGTGCCTCATGTTGCCATTCCCTTCTTTTGGTTGAGCTCCCTGGCTAGACTATATCTTCCACAATACACCATGGTCTCTGCTCTTGCCGAGCCCCAAGCCACAGTGCGTCATGGCAAATTAACTTTTTGTTTTTTGGGTGTTTCTATTTAAAAAAAAAGTTGAAGTTTTCCAAGGAAAGCAGATACTATTCATGAAAAAATTTTGTTTAACTGAAAACCCAATTGTCTGTCAGAACACAGTTTTGTTACAAAAAAAAAAAAATCTAACCAACACTACAAAACACCATGAAAGTAAGATGTCTTTGCAAGATTTATTTAAATCTAAATGGAATTAAAGCAGAGTGTAGAAATATAGCATTGTATAAAGTCAATATTTGTAAAACTACTTTAAAACAGGAAAACTGGACCAGGGCTTACAAGGAACTACTACTAGCAAAATGAAACAATAGTGTGAAAAGATAGTAAATAATGAAATATATGAAAATAATCAGTAAACAGGATGGGAAGAAGAAAACAAAAAAGAATGACCCTCATCAGAAAATTGGACACACTGATAAATAGGGCAAGGGACTGTTTTATTTTACCTACACACAGTGTCATGCAAATAGGCAGCTATTTTCTCCAAGTTGTCCACTACTTTACATTCAGTTTTAATATAAATGGGAATCTAGTGCTCAATTTACCAATATTAACTCCAAATGCAATAACAGAAGGATTATTTTAATGGATATGGGACAGAACTGAAATCTAAGGCTTGGCATAGAATGTTACTGGTAACATGGCAGTAGAAATTGCCAGACACAATAGTTGTGGTTCAGTCCCATAAAATGACTTACAAACTAACTCCCACAAGTATTTTTTTTTTTTAAAGTTCTTTTAAGGTATTTGTTTTATCAGAATGCAAGAGAGCTCAACCACTTTACATTAGTTAAATGATAATAAAATATAAACAAGTTACCTGCGTCATTATTAATGAATTAAACATTATATTGTGCTCTCTTTGCATTATAACGAAGAGTAGTAACCAAAGAGTTATCATCACTTTCTTGACAACTTACTTTAATCACAGAAAAACAAGGAAAACTAATAATTGCTTGGATAAAATTTGTTCTTACTTGGTCCATCTGAAGTCTTGTCTTTCTTTCTTCTTTTACATATACAACAACATAAGGAAGCCATGTGACTAAGAATAATAAGAGGTGGAGGCAGGACAGGTTTTTCATGGTAGGCCATAATGAAATGATAGCGCTGATACTTCCATACGATGTTTGAAATTGCCTTTACTTGTAAATATACATTGCTGAAGGGGGGAAAACGTAAAAGTGTTAACACAAAGATTTTAGATGTTAGTAACTATCAGAAGCAATTTTACTGCTTTCTGAATTTTACAAAGGCATAATTGTAGGGAATGTACAGATTGTACATAACTGTGTATTTTAACTTTACTGCAAAAGTAACTCATTAAATTTTTAAATAGGAGTTAGAAGTGCATCAAGGGAAGGCTATCCCAATATGGCAAGTTGTTCTTTCAACTTACAGACTATTACAGTAAAACCTTTTATACCCGACATGTTGGGGGAATGGCGGGTGCTGGTAAGTGAAAAATTCCGGTAACTAAGAGGGAGGGAGTTTGGCTGTGGGAAGGGGTGCGGGCTCTGCAAGGGAGTTTGGCTGTGGGAGGGGACTCAGGGCAGAGGGTTGGGTGCGGGAGGGGGTGCAGGGTGCCGGATCTGTGCGGTGCTCACCTCAGGCAGCTCCCTGCAAGCAGCGACATGTCCCAGCTGTTCCTAGGCAGCTCTGCACATTGCCTCTGCCCACAGGCGCCGCCCCCACAGCTCCCACTGGCCGCAGTTTTCTGCCAGTGGGATCTGTGGAGGCTGCGCTCGGGGCAGGGGCAGCACGCAGAGCTGCTTATCTGCGCCTCCACCTAGGAGCAGCTGGGACATGTCGCCACTTGTGTGGAGCTGCCCGATGTGAGCGTTGCCCGGATCCAGCACTCCGAAACCCCTCCCATGCCCCCAACCCTCTGCTCCAAGCCCCATCCCATGCCCAAACTCCCTTCCAGAGCCCACATCCTGCACCCCCTCCCACACTCCAGCCCCACATCCCCTCCTGCACGCCAAATCCCTTGTGGCCACTCCTCCACCTAGGAGCAGCAGGGACGTGTCGCTGCTTCCGGGGACCCACACAGACCAGACTATAAACTGGACTTTCAATGACAATCAGAAATGCCGGTTTATAGAGCTTTACGGTTGGTAAAGTACTGGATAACACAGCTTTTCCTGTATTTGGGAATGGTGCTCAGGATATTAATAATCACATGATTTTGCCTATTGGTTATTTGTTTGTCTAGACTGAGCTGGTAGTGACGAAGCCATCAGGATCTGACTTCATGGCCCTATCGTTGTTTCCATGCCGTTCCTTATGGACAACACTAACCACCAAAATTCGCCACTATTTTAGCAGTCTCACAAATGCTAAGGTCTGAAGCAGTGGAGAGAACACGGCAGGGGGCATGTTTACCCTCTCATCTCTAGGATCCCTTCTGTAATGCACTAAGAATAAGTCTACTGTACAAATTTAAGTATCATAATGTAACTGGTGACCACTGGGAAAGGAATAGCTATCTAGTCACAGGCACAGTAATTATTCACCAGTTGTCTGAGGCATTACAGAACTGGCAGCAGCAGGTTTGTAACTGCAAGGCAAAAATGCAGGCATGTTGGCATGCCTATGTGTTGTGACTGTATGTTCAAACTAGATTAAACACACAATCAGTTAAATGTTTAACTAGCGAGTTGCACATGCAATCATCCTGTCTGCATACACAAGTGCGGCTCACACACACACACAATATCCCAGTAATTTGTGCAAGCTGGCCCAATAAATGTAATCATTGCTTGTAGTAGTTATACCATCTAACCTAATTTCTTAAATTTGAAGTATGCAGTTTCTTATCAGGTATAAATAAAGCTCAATTTGTATAATTAAAATACCGTAGGACCACTTTTATTAACTGAGAAAATGCCAGTTTTCAGTATAAAAGTCTGCATTGTGTTCTTGAACTAAGATAGACGCAAAAAGCCTAAAGTCAAATAAATTTGACAATCTAACAAACTTTTTTTGTAATGTTAGGTATGCAGATTCAGAAGTAAAGTCAGAAATGTAAAACTTGTGGAGATTTGTTTCATGTGTAGGCATAAACTAGCAACAACGACTTGTTACAGGTAAGTGTTTCTGCAAAAGTACAGCAGGACGTTACTAATCCATACATGTTACACTTACACAAAAAATGCACTCTTTTTTCCCTGTCTAGTAACATAAGAACACAAAACAATGCTATTAAATCTTTGCTGAGACTTCATTGTATACTAGTAAACTTAGTATATTTGGAAAACTAATGAAGAATAAAATTGAAATAAGCTTATCAAGTTAAATTTAATGACATCATCATTTACCATCTTTGCTTTTTATTAATTTAGATTGCTAATTAAACTGCATTAATTTGCAACAGGTTCTCCAGGCAGTGTTAAAGCAGGAAATTTAAAAGTAATATTTAAGTAGGACTTTTTTTTTTAATTTTACCTTTTATTTAGTATTGATCATATTTCTTAAAGTACTATACAGGGCACACTGCCCTGCCACCAGGTAAAAACAAGAATACAAGAAACAACATTAAAACATCAGTGTGACTCTAAGGGACTATCATTCATAGAATCATAGAATAACAGAGTTGGAAGGGACCTCTGGAGGCCATCTAGTCCAACCCCCTGCCCAGAGCAGGACCAATCCCAACTAAATCATCCCAGCCAGGGCTTTGTCAAGCCTGACCTTAAAAACTTCTAAGGAAGGGGATTCCACCACCTCCCTAGGTAACACATTCCAGTGTTTCACCACCCTCCTAGTGAAAAAGTTTTTCCTAATATCCAACCTAAACCTCCCCCACTGCAACTTGAGACCATTACTCCTTGTCCTGTCATCTGCTATCACTGAGAATAGTCTAGAACCATCCTCTTTGGATCCACCTTTCAGGTAGTTAAAAGCAGCTATCAAATCCCCCCTCATTCTTCTCTTCCGTAGACTCAACAATCCCAGTTCCCTCAGCCTCTCCTCATAACTCATGCGTTTCAGTCCCCTAATCATTTTTGTTGCTCTTCGCTGGACTCTCTCCAATTTCTCCACATCCTTCTTGTAGTGTGGGGCCCAAAACTGGACACAGTACTCCAGATGAGACCTCACCAATGTCAAATAGAGGGGAACGATCACGTCCCTCGGTCTGCTGGCAATGCCCCTACTTATACATCCCAAAATGCCATTGGCCTTCTTGGCAACAAGGGCACACTGTTGACTCGTATCCAGCTTCTCATCCACTGTCACCCCTAGGTCCTTCTCTGCAGAACTGCTGCCTAGCCATTTGGTCCCTAGTCTGTAGCGGTGCATGGGATTCTTCCGTCCTAAGTGCAGGACTCTGCACTTGTCCTTGTTGAACCTCATCAGATTTCTTTTGGCCCAATCCTCCAATTTGTCTAGGTCCCTCTGTATCCTATCCCTACTCTCCAGCGTATCTACCACTCCTCCCAGTTTAGTGCCATTGTGTTTGTAGTTCACTGTGCCTTCAGATATGTCAATTCAGTGAAAGAATTATGATTTCCCTGTACCATGCTATTCAAGTTATTAGTAATATAGATTTGCTTCATGCCTCCAGATAGAGTTAGAGCAAACTGTACTCCCCTGTGCTTGCAAGGACAGCTGTGCCAGCAATTTTTACCCATAGGCAGGACAGAACGTTGTAGTCCTGACATTCTGTCAGAGAACAGCAGCTTTTAAACTTCAGCCAGGACTCCCACAAGAGTCCTGCCAGTGGAGGATCCCAGACAGATGCACTGAATATCCCTCACCAGATCTATATACTTTTTGCGTAAAGCTAGCTGGTTCCAGGCCCAACAGGGAGACAGGGATTGTGGAGATCTTGCATGGTTGTGTATTGCCTGGTTTGTAGTTAAGGGGTGTGGGGAAAATCATTTATCCTATTCTGCTTGGTCCCTTTCATCAGAAAGAAGTTCACTTAGGTCAAATTTCATTTTTTCAAATTAAAATGATCTGGCTGATTTTTTAATCTTTAATGTGGTCTGGTATACTAACCCACTAATTATTGCAAATTGGAAATAGGCCTACTAATCATGGATTAAGCAAATCTTCAGTTTTAATGAGCTGTGTACTATTACAAATGCTTTTTCAAAATAACGGATTAGAAAGATAAACAAAATTTGATTTTAAATTTCTCTATAGCTATCCCTAGCCAAGCTTATTTAAAAAAAAAAAAAAAAAAAAAAAAAAAACCAACCAACCAAACATTTGTACTTTGGAATAACATTCTGGGTATGAAGTTACGCCAGTGGAGCAATAAACCCAAGAACCAATTTTGTTCTTTTTTTATTTTTGGAAAGGAGAGAAGAAAGAGGGCAGGGGTGCCCTCAAATTCCCCCTCCCTTACCTTCCCCTCTGTTACATTTAGCCTCCCTGCAATTTTGGGCTGGACACAGTGCTTTCAGAAAGCATAGCATCATGAGCAGGGTGTAACACAATCCCTCTGCCCTAGGAACTGGGCAGACTGTCCCTACAGTGCTGAAGAGTAATGGATCAAGATTAGCACCTGAAGAACACACAGCCACCAAAACAGCAGTGCCTTCCACTGCCATCAGGCCACCAAACTATTTTTAGTTAGTTTATTCAAATTAGATATGTACTTATCACCAGATTAACAATTATCTGAAAGTAACAATATACTTACTTGAAAAATGCAATAAGGAGATTAACCATAATAATGTACTGTACAAAGAGGTAGACAGCTTGAAGAAATGGGGTCAGCCATGTTCCAGGTCCACAGAGATGGCCAACTTGTGTATCATTTGCACATACTTTGGTGAGAAAACACAGAGACCATATTTTCTTTTAGAGAGGACTTTTAATACTTATAGCAGATACAGATGCTGAAAGAATCACTCAAAGACTGTGCAATAACTAGCTGTATGCATCTATCCTGTAATTTGTTCTTTTAAAAAAATACAATTAGTAACAGTTTTTAAAAAGTTACAGGAGAGAGAGGCATCCTGTAGTTACTGAGTGGTCTTTATCAATTAAGTAAAATGCTTTTTCAGCTCACAGCAACAAAATCTTTTCATGATGGCTGCATATGGGATAAATACAGCTCTACGCTTAGCCCAATTGGAAGACACTTCCCCTTTTGGCCAAAAAAGGAACAAAAGTTCTCATGCTAGGTCATGTTTAAGCTTTTTTCAGCATAAGCAAGACAAAGAGTTCCCTACATTTGGGACTTAAATGGGTATACCTCAAGAAGAAAAGGTAATCCAATACAACTAACTAAATTCGTGTTTCATCAACACACCTCAGCCTATCAGCATCTGGAAAAAAAATATCCTTAATCCTTGAGGGTTTCCATAAATTGTTCTAAAATTGCATCATCTTACCATCAATTTCATATGCATAAACTTCACCAAAAATCATCCAGTATGGATGAAACACAATATCTCTAGCAAGAGTCCAAGATGGTGCTTCATTAGGATAGAGTATTGCCTTCCGGGGAACACCAAAACTAAGCAGTACAAGTGCCATAATCACTACAATGTAGAACATGTTGGCCACCTGTTTAAAAAAAGTTCAAGTTAAGAAAACTCACAAAGTCCATCAAATAAAAGCTTTGGCAATTATGGTTTCAAAACATGTGTGTAATAACTATCTCCAAAATGTATCAATATTTAACTTTGTGTGTATCTATATATAAACAGATTTGGGGGTTAGCAAACTGAGGATAAGGATTTATCATACTTACTCCTTAAATGAGAAAGAATAAAACATACAATTCAGTTTTGCAGCAGTCTGACATGCTATTTTAATTCTTTTTATTTTTAAAATATTAACCAGCACTGAAGTATACCCAGCTTCCTTACGATTAAAGCAAACTTTTATACAGTTATAGCAGCAATTTCTAGTGCAAGCTTAAGGAATTGTGTGCATTTTGCAATTTTAAGCAATTTTTGAGGCATTTATAATGGGGTTAGAGGATTCAGCCAGTTAAAACTCAGCCCAAGATCACAAACCTTAATCTTCAGTTTTTCCTCCACCAAACTATTGTATGCTCTTACAGCTTGGAACGCTGATTTACTGTACCCACCAATTTTTATGAATGTGATATACTCCACTCTATGACTCCTCCCTCCTACACTCTCTGAGGCTAAACACAGTGTAGGTACAGTTTTCCCAAGCTCGGAAAATGAGAGTGACACAGAAATAGAACCAGGTTTCATGCACTAGCTTACCTAGCAACAAGCAGGGTTTCTTTTGCAGAAGGTAGGGGGGAGGGGAAGAAGAAGGGGAGAAAGAGAGGAATTGGGGAATCCAAACTTTGGGAGAGCTATTTTTAAGGAAGAAAGCAGATGTTTTTAATCTCAAACTCATGTGGTTAAGCCCAGTATCAGTGTATACATTTTACTCCCCTAGTTCCTAATCTAACATCCATCAGTTCATATATCTCATAGTGAGATGATTTTATTTCCATTATTCACTATGGCAGAGTTATTTAGATGACATTCATAACTCCTAACACTCTGTATAAGTTCCAGATGCTATAGAAAAGGGAATGTATTGAAAAAATTCAGTTTATGCTGTCTGACCAGGAGGAAGGAAATCTGCTTTGAGATGTGATTATTTGGGGAATCTGCCTATGCACAGTTTATGACATATATTTGAGATTCTAAACTTGGTATATTTATCTTTATCAAGCTGCAGACTCCATTTTGAGTGTAAAGCTCTGTTTTTGCCTTCCTACTGCCTTTTTATTACCCCCATCTTGGCTAAAATTCCAAATACTGGTGTGGCAAAGGGCTAACAATGGAAGAACATTAAACTTGGATGATTATCTGTTTAAATGGAGCACCCTGAGATAAACAGAAGGCTGCCATCCAGGGTAAACCAGTTTTCAAATCTGAACTCAAGGGAGTGATAACTTAGTTACAGATCACCTGGTAGAGGTCTCTGATCACCTGATGAGGTTGATCAGCAAGTCACCTGACAAGGGGGCTGACGGCTCATCAGTCGTTTGAGAAAGAGAACAAAACAAACAGAAGGGTACTGACTAAGTGATTCTCCCTCTCTGACCTCATGTTTCAGAGGAAAAGCCATGAGAAGCAGAAGGAAGGGGCTTGGGCATTGCCTTCAGCCCCAGGCCTCAGCAAGTCTAACGCCAGCCCTCGCAACCCTATTAGAACACGGTTGTGACCCACTTTGGGGTCCCGACCCACAGTTTGAGAACTGCTGATTTAAATCCTTTTGATTCCATAAATAAATAGAATGTCTCTTTCCTTTAAGGAATAAGGTCAGTAAGACAGTTAGCAATAAAGCAGAGATTCCCATGTTGTGGGTCACAACCACCTTTCCCTTCCCATATTGATAAGTGCATGGAGGTTCTGGTATGGAACAAGAACTACTGCATTAAACAGTGCAGGGATAGAATATTCATATTTCCAAGAAACCCCAAAAGAATAAGAGTAATATCATCCTAACCCTACAAAAGAAAAGAAGCTAGATGGAAGGACTGCTGCCTTTTCTTCAGTTCAAATCTCTGACACATGTATAAAAGTGATTTAGGAGCAGGGTAGAGGAGGAACTTACAAATACTCTCCAGTTTCCACATCTTTCATTTCTGAGAGATGTTTGTAAAGGAAGAGCAATAATGGCACCTATTCATCAAAATGGATTTTCTATAGATCAGAAGGGCAGATATCACAGACGATAACCAAATGTTTGGTAAGCCACTCTCATCCCTCACTGTTCTGAGGATCCATGAACAGAAATTATATCTTAATTAACCCATTTGCACATTTAGATTTATGGGAAATTACCTCAGTATAATGTGGCCTTTTTCTAAATAGATTCTTAAAAAATTATAAATGGATGCAGTGAGACAAAGAGGTATCTTTTCAATAAAACAAGACTTACCATTTTGCCAATCATCATCACATAAGGGCCAGCCTGTTGATTTACAGCTAGAAAATCCAGTAATCGCACATACCAAAATATAATATTTAGGCAGTACGTTATTCTTCCAACAACAAAAACATAATTTTCTCTGTACGTATTGTCACCAAAGTTCCCTTTTGCTCCAAATCTTAGTGTAAACCCAATGAAGAAAGTAATAATGGCAATTGTATCACTGATGTTGAAGTAATCACTGAACCACACTTTAATCTTCTGATTAATTTTCCCAGCCTCTGACATAAAGATCTACATTAAGAAGAAGAAAAAAAAATCAGGTATCTGCATATTTGTCTCATATCAAGACCATTGAACCATCTGAACATTTTATCAGTAAACAAAATTTTTATCAGCATGTTTGAGCATGCTTCCATGTTAAATTGATAAACCTTAATATAAAAATATTTACTGTCCAGATTTGTAGATATACATATGCGATTATCACAACTGCATGTACAACCACAATTCCACATTAAAATGTATCAGTTTGATGGCTAACTGGTCATTTGTGTGTACTTTTATTGAGAGTCCATGCACAATACCATGCACATTTTTTAAAATCTCAGCTCTGCTCTGAGGTTACCCCTTGCAGAACAAATGTGTTTCATATTTTTAATGGTACTTCAGTATGATTGCTCAAATTATACCACATCCAAATCCATTAGCCTTTTTTGAGTGACAAGGGATTTGATTCCTGTAGTAAATTTGTTATATAAAGGAGATATTCATAATGCCTTTAATAAAATAAAATAGTTTAAAATGCAAATATTAATAAGTGCACTATAACACTTTTAATCTGCATCACTTACATTATCTTTTGATAAAGACCATTTACAGCATACTGCTCTACTTGACATTAGTGAAGTAATTTAGAACACAACTGAGATTACAAACATACCTCACGAATCTTCTCAATAGCTGATGTAAAAATATAAGCTATAACAATCCATTCTTGAACTGATGGTATTTCTTCCATTTTTACAAGGACTACAAATGTGTAAAGCATCAGAAATCCTAAGTATGCCAACTAAAAAAAAGCAAGTAAGCAAAAATGTTACCTTTATGTAGTTACACAATTTATTTTCAAATGGATGTGGATTATTTTTGATAATCTGATCGGATACAGTGTGCACCAAAACAGTAAGTAGGATAACAGTACTTGCTTACGGGGACAAGGGTAGTAAATGCCAGTAAATGGGAAAAATATTGTATATTGGCTTTATATATCCCACAAGAGCAAAAGAAAAAAGTAACAATAACCTCCAATAATTTAGGATGTTAAATAGAAATTTATGTAAATTATCTAAAATAAATTACGCACAACTTTGCCTAAATATGTTAGGCTAATGAACAATTATGTACCGTCTGCTAAACTGGATGAGGCAAAATAATACACCAAAATAAAATAAATCTGAGGGCTAAGTATTCATCCTGAGTTACCCTGCAGGAGGAGGACATATCAGGACAAATAGGGTGAAGAGTAAATATGATATATTTTGCACACTGTGCATGCACCAGCCAGCTTCTAAGACTCCAGTGATTCTCATTTCTTAGGAAGATAGTTTTAGAAGGACAAGAGCAGTTAAACTCTGCTGCTATTTGTAACAACTGTATGCTGGTCAAAGAACCAGCCATAAATATGAACTACTTCTGAAAAGAGGTCTTGAGCATGTCATTTTACACAGCGTTCTTCAAAAACTCACCGTATTGAACCAGAACTTCACAATTGGCGCATGATAGAATGCATAAAACTTTCGTGTAATTGGAAGTCGTTTAGGTTTTGTTGGCATCTCCATGTCATGTTTTCCTTCAGTACTGTCCAAGACCCTTACTTCTTTAAATACTTCCTAACATAAAAAGGATAGATATATGTATAGAACTGTATATGTAACTGAACTTATGTATAGAAATACTTCTTTGTTCTTTGGGTTTTTGTTTGTTTGTTTTATGTTACCATGGGTATCTCTTCTGCTATATTCTGGAAGTTGTTTTCACTGTCTTCCATTGTCATCTGGTGTGCATCTTGAGACTGTGGAATATGGGACATTTCTGCCTTGGTTTTATATTCCAGCATTAGTATGGCAGGGGGTAGTAAGATGCTCAGTATCACCTACAAGAATTGAAGATGAGCAATTTTAAAGGTGTACTTCCACTTAACGTCAGCATATTAAAATGTCAGACATATTGGTACACAGACTATCCCCTGTAAAAATAGAATTTTATAATCCAAATTGTCCTTGTCAGGTAGTTGGTAGAAAAAAATGGGGGTGGAGAGAGATTTTTTTGTTATTTATACATGTAACTTACAGGCCAAGTGTGAGCATATAAAGAATGTTCCATGAAATTCTTGAGGAAAAAAAAAAAATCAGTGGGTTCCAAAACTAAACATCACTGGACAGAATGTATTCTAAGATTAAACAACAGAGAGCTACAGCTTAACTGAATTCATAGGTCATTTCTTCTTCCCCAACTTTGGCAAGAACATGGCTGAAGTCTTAGAGACAGGGCATGGTTAACTATACATGAGTCAGTTTTTCTAGTCACGGTAGAAAAATCATGATGTCTGAAACATGTATAAAAAGTACTAGATAAAATAGCTGTTTATTGAAGTTAGTCCATTACAAGGCAAGAGAGGTAAACAGATAAGTTGGCATGTAAGATTTTAGAAGGTCACATAGTAGATGATGCTTGTAGAGGTTTTGTATGAAAGTCGCACTTTTTTGGGTGATTTCCCCTTTGTTACTCCAAATAATGGAATAAATTTTCAGTATGATGTCCATAATAGATATGTACTCTTGCAATTGTTAATTAGAGCTGCATGACTTATTTTAGTGCACTATTCTGAAAACTTACACCACCTGATCCTGCAGATTTGTGTGCCAGTGTTCCACTGTATGCCCTCCATTTGTTCATCTTGGGCCTCCGAAATGAAAGCAAAAAGCTTATTTCTACATGAAGTTTTACTTACTGCCTGTAGAAGGCAGAAGCATATGAAATTGTATTCTTACAGTGGATTTTCTGTTGTTAATTTTTTTCACCACTATATTTTTAGTAGTGGATTAGTATTCACAGTAATCTACATATGCCTCTGATTAAGGGCTACTTGCCTGTTTTCTGCCTTCTACATTTCTGTACCTTATTTAAAAAGATAATAGAGCATCAAAAGAAGAGTTTATAACAACATGTCCAGATTTGATTAAGTTAAAAAAGTTACAGTAGAACAGTTTCACAACATTTATTAAGGTAAATAAGGGTTACAGTGATAAAAGTTTTATAGGAATAGTACTTTGTATACAACACACTTTTCTTCCACTTCAGCATAAACACAATAAATAAGAATGGCAGGCAGGATTAACACTAACAGTCAATTGTAAGGATGTTTACCTTGTACCATGAATTTTTCCTCATGTTTAGTCTTCCCATCCACATATCAGATAACAACATCTGGGTACAAGTATGAGCTACAAACGGGCGGAGTCTTGAAGACACTGCTAGATTAAGACAGGTTGAATTACTCCAGTTTTTCAGCTCATAGGTTAATAACTTCATAGCCATGGTTTCATCTTGTCGGAAGGACTGTTCTAGTAGTTCAACTGCAAGTTGTCCAAACTCACTAGAAAAAGGAAAAAAAAAACAAAAATACCTATTTTAGGTTCTGGAGAGTTTCTTCTTTCATACACAATATCAGGGATTTTGAGGAGTTCCCTTCTTCCACTGCAACAACTGGGATATGTGCTGGGGTGTTCAATTCACACCATCCTGGAAGTGGTTAGTGAGGCTAAGAGGCCAACTAACCAGTTAGGCCACCTAATTCCCCTCAGATGTGGCCTAAATAATTCCCTGAATGATAGCACCCAGCTAAGAAGGAACAAGCAGGGGTAGGATAAAGACAAGAAGTTGGCAGCAGAAAAGGGGGTTCAGGGAGATAATTTGCAGTCACTCCTTGGGAGCAGGGAGGTGTGGTCAAGGCTACTGAGTTCAGTAATCTGCAGTTACTCTCTGGGAAGAGGGAGTTTAAGCTGGGACATCCAGAGAGGAGCAGGCAGAAGCTGTAGGAAGGAGTCCTGAAAAACACAAAGAGGTCTGAGGGAAAGCAGACTGCAGTAGCCAGGTATAGGGTCCCTGGACCGGAACTCAGAGTAGTGGAAGGGCCTTGGTTCCCCTACCAGCCACTGGGGTAAGTGGTACCATCAGGGCAATGCACAAGAAGACTGCCTTAGACCACTGGTATGGAAAGTCTTAGATATCCAAGAAGGGGAAGACTTTAATGACCTGGCTGGAAAGCCAAGCCACAGAGTACTCTGAGTCACAGGGAGTGAGACAGATGGCAGGGTGTGCAGAAGGGGGCATCAGACCTGAGTGAAGCTAAACTCCAGATGCAGTCACAAGGAGGATCCCCCAGAGGTGAACAGAGCATCCAGTGTCATGGTAATTCCTAGATCAAGGGACTATATCCCATATGATCAAATTCTTGCGAGTGCAAGACGATGGGCTATACCAGGCATTGTTGGAATTTCAATCTGCCCTGTCATCTGATAGGTGTGCTTACATTATCTAATGAACACTAATTCACACACAGTACGGCTTTCTTTAAAATGTATGACGACTACATATGTAATACAATAAGTTTAGGGTAAAAGCATCTCTGTTAAGGTGCTCAAAGTTCTTTTAATATAAACACCGGGTTTGCCAACAGTAATATAAGTAATGCGCTGATATGCAGCTTGTATTAGAATACAATCTAATAACTTTGAGAAGATTCTTTTTCTTCAAGCATGCTAAGTAAACAAGTAGCAGAAAGGGGAAAGATGTTTTCTATTCATGTCTACTTTGCTAGTGCTATAAGAAGGCTTATAAGAAAGATTTAACAAGATGAAAAGTAGATTACTTGGAGTACTGTTTCAGTTCTTCAGAGGTATCATCAACAAGGTCACTTTGTTTTGCCTCATATGCCATTGAACGATAGACCTTGCAGGCAACTAAGGCTTTAGCCATGGACTCTTCACCATGCTGCCAGAAGAAAAGGGCCATTTTCTGTCTTTTCATTAACACTGCCCAAAGTAAGAGTTCATTAAGAGGATAAGGAAAGCGTCTAGTTTCAGGATCATCAATATCTACGACTTCATCTTTGGTTCTTTTCTTTTTTCCTTCTTCTGCACTTATATCAATCTTTAAAAAAAACAAAGGAAAGGTTAGAAAATTACATTTGATCAGAACAAATTTAGATTTAAAGTACTGTTGACAGTGATACACAGCTAGAAATGGTGATTGGTGCTCTAACATATTTATAAGCTGGGTTTTCCTTTTAAAACTCAAGTTAAATCTTGCTAATTCATGCTCACATCTGAGACACATTGCCCATATGTTTTGCAAATTATTGGACAAAGCAGCAATGAACTAAAAGATTCCTAAAGTAGGATAAAGAAACTCTTTGGTAACAAGAAAAGGAGTACTTGTGGCACCTTAGAGACTAACAAATTTATTTGAGCATAAGCTTTCGTGAGCTACAGCTCACTTCATCGGATATTTGTTAGTCTCTAAGGTGCCACAAGTACTCCTTTTCCTTTTGCGGATACAGACTAACTCGGCTGCTACTCTGAAACCTGTCATTGGTAACAGTTTTTTACTAACCTAGAGCCAAATCCTGCTACCTTTACTAATGCAGGTAGTTTCAATGGGACAGATTCATCCCTGATGTAACTGCATTCAGTGATGTTACACCAAGGATGAGTTTTTTGCCCTTAAATACCACTGCTTATAAATAATATTTAAAATAAAATAAATGCATTATTTATATAGCCCTTGCAATGGGCTAAGCATTTTACAGAAAAGTATGAAGTCAGAGGATCTATTGACTATATTTTGCCACAAATTTCAGTAGGGCCAGGATTTCACTCTAGGTTCTTACCTTGAAGAATTTACAATCAAAAAATGGTGAAATCTTATGACACAAACATACCTTTGGTTTGTAAGGCTGTGCAGTTTTGATGAAATGATTATGTCGCATTTTCTCTTTTTTATCTGCCCTGTTACCAAAAGACTCATGGCTTTTACGCAGTTGAGGAGTATTATTTGAAGGATTACGCCCAGACCGCTGGCAGTAAAAAAAATATAAAAAAAAGAAGAGAAAAAAAAAAGATGCTAAATGTTGTTTTTAAGTTTCTTAACACATTTGGATAAAAACACTATATGAGACAGCTATACAAAGCCGAATGTACGACTATTTAATTGAAAAATTATGTAACTGAAATGGTTATCATGGATTATAAATTTGATCTCCATATGATAGCTAAAATCTTAAATAGTAAAATATTTTTCACATGAGTAATTCTTAATCATACAGCTAATCCCATTGCCCTTAATGGCTTCAGTCCTGTAAAAAAGATTTACAAGACTGGGCTATAATTTTCACAAGCAGTCAACTGTTGTTGGTGTTTAGACATTTTTAAAAACATGTTTTCCTAAATGTAAAGCATTTTAAGCTTATCAAACTCCACATACCCGACTGTTCCCACTGAGACTGTTGTATATGACTCTAAAGCGTTTTCGCGTATAGGTGCATCTGTAGGTTCCTCCCATCAAATATTCAATAACAAGCCCTACATCAATCAGGTTGATTTTATATCCTGGAGGAAGGTTTCCCTAGAAATATAAAACTGCTCTTAGCGTTGCAGATATATTACAACATAGTTAAACTTATTTACAGCACTTTCACATGTATGTCAATTCTAGATAACGAGTGAGTTAAGCCTTTCATTCTAAACGCCTGTTTGAGGTTTAATATATAAAACTATTTCAAAGCAGAGTAGATTCTACTTTGTCAGGTACAGTAATTTTCCATCTGGAGGTTGTATGTATTTTTTGGTTTTGTAACTCAAGTGCTATTAACCTATTTTAGTTAAACAGAAAGATATTTTTTAGATTCAAGCAGCTTAGATTCAAACATTTCAAGCTGTGTGACAATGACACATGACTGACAACTGCAGACCTTGGAAGGACAGGAGTATGCTAGAATGGCTCTATTTTTTCTTGCCCAGAGGATCCAAACAGCAGCATCATCTGTTTGCTTCAATAAGCCTTTGCATTACGAGTGTATCTCACATCTTTAAAGTTGTCTAGAATCCATTTATATTCCTCATAATAATCAGCAATTTTCTTCCAAATTCTGGAACTTGAACACAAAGTATTTTCCCATGGAAGTTCCCTTAACATTTGTTTTTGGTTGTTTTTTTGTGTGGGGGTGAGGTTAGAAGAGAAGGTGTTGGGGATGAATATGGGTGATGGTATCTTTTCTGCCCCTCTATGGCTTGAAGTGGAAGATTCCTGGAGTGCTGCTCTAGTCTCTCCTTCCCTCAGCAGGCTGTGAACTAGGGTGGAATAGGAATACATCATATACTAATCTCCTAGTCATGACCTTGCCCAACCAATTAGAAATCCTGTGTTAGGCCCTTCTGCTTCCCCACTACATTGGTTTCACTGCCTAGAGTCTTCAAAATTGCTAGAGATTATGCATATGAGGGAAGGATAAGGATAAGTAGGACTTGCCCCAAAAGATCAGTGCCTTTATCTTATTGTTATGCTAGTTCTCAAGCCCCTCATTTACACTACATCAGGGATACCAAGTGTGTTGGCCAAGCTATACCTCTAATGAGACTCCATGGATTAAGTTAAGGCTATGGAAGACCCTTACCTCACAGTGAAACATCTTTTAACTTCAGTGGGAATTCTGGGGGCAACAGATCAGAATTCTCATTGCACATCCCATGAGTACCCAGTTCATAACGGGGAAACTAATGATCCAATCAGTGGACTGCATTCAAAGTCCTTTCTAGGGCTGAATCTCTGTCACTTGTAAGCCAACTTTCCTGTTGCAATTCCTCCTCCCCTTCCCTAACATTTGAGACATTGGGCTAGCCTGGAGAGTATTGCAGCTCAGTGTCGAGGGATTGTCAGCAGCCAAACGCAGCATTATCAGCTATTTATCCTGTCACCACATTGACATCATCTGCCTACAAGAGATGCACATCGCCACTGCAAGATGCAAGGTGCTTCAAGATGATCAGTTTTGACCTGCTGTGCCACACCCCACACGCCAAACACAGCCACACCATTTATATCCAGTGAAACACCTCAGATGCAGCTCCATTTACATCTGCTAGTAACTATGATATGATTCAGGTGGGAGGTTTCCAAATCGCAAAATGTTTACAAGCCAGTGAATGTTAACTGGGACCAGCAAGTTCTGCCAAGACTAGCACTCCCAGGTGTCTAAGTAGGGGACTTCAACAGCCACCATCCTGACTGGGGATACCCGGTATCAGATGCTAATGAAGACTAACTGGTGGAGTGGGCATCTAACAATGATCTTGCCCTCATTCATGATGCAAAGCAGGGAGGCACCTTCCACTCAGTCAGATGGTCTCATGAAGATTTTCCTGATTTGAACTGGGTATCGTCTGTGGATAGTCACTCCCAACATGTATCATGTCTGGTCTTGGAAGACCTCCCACATAGCCAACACAAACCTTTCATTATCCACATTGGCACATCCACAACTCCCAATCATTAGATCCTTTAACAAATAGAAATAGAACTCCAGGAAGGCAGACTGGAAGAAGTACACAGATGCTCTAGTAAAAAGCGTCATCACCATACCATCACACAGCATCCTGGTCAACAAAGCTTTCGGTCGACTCCAAAAAGACATCTTCAAAGCCGCCTGCATGTCCATACTAGGTGGCCACCATCCAGTCTACATGCCATGCCCTGATGCTGAATGTGCTAAACTGCTCAGTCATTGTGAATCCTGATCAGCTAATCAGGTCACTGGATGCTGCCAGACGGCCACAACGGAAAGAGATGATTTGGAATGTAAACGTCACTCACTCAAATGGGAAACGCTGGAATTTGATTGGTCATCTTGGTGCAGATCAGCAGCCCTAAGCTGAACCACCTGTCACACCAAACCAAGCTGCTAGCCATCTGGTGAATGTGTCAAACAGGTCCATGACAAATAGCATCAGTCCCATCAGAGTAACATCACTCAGCAACACAGAGTCGTCCACAGCCACAGACTTAGACAAAATTCTGATATCAAGAGCGGCTATGACAACATACTGCCAGAGCTCCTAAACATGAGTACCAAGGTGCTTCATCAGTGGCTGGCACAGTTCTTCACACAAATGGTCAACAAAGAGTAACTTATGAAGACATGGTGAATGTCAAAAGTCACTGTTCTCCTGAAACTGGGGAAAGACCCACAATGATGCAAGATACTGAACTATATCCCTGTCGTCTGTGACATTCACAGAGCTGGAGTGTCTTCACTTCTGGGGAGTTGCGCGGAAGAGTGAGTCAATCCTCAGAATTTGGCAAGCAGGCTTTCAGAGGGTGAAGAGCATCTGCAATCAAATGCTAGCTTTGACAACATTCACTGAAAACAGTTTTAAAAAAAACAACAACTGAAGATGGGAGTTGTATTTCTGCACCTGAAAGCAGTATATGACACAGTCTGGCACATGGTACTCTTAGTCAAATTGTCAAGAGCACTCCTAGCATGGGTAGTCAACACTGTTGACCTTCTAATCCGCAACAGATGTTTCCAAGTGTATATGGAAGATAGAGACAGTGCTTGAAAAAGACAAACCAACAGTCTACCCCAAGGTTCTGTGCTGGCCCCGATGCTTTTCAACTTGTACACAAACAATCTTCTGTTTACCCAGTCCTGCAAGTTCACATACCAGATGGCATTTGCCTTAGGTGTCCAAGCAGTTGCCAGCACTTGAATACGCCCTAAACACTGACTTGATTAAGATTGCCAATCACTGTAGTGGTTGGCATTTACAACCATGGACAAAAGAACAGCCATGCTCAGTCAGACTTATGGTCGATCTAGCCCAGTATCCTGTCTTCAGACAGTAGCCAATGCCAGGTGCTTCAGAGGGAATGAACAGAACAGGTAATCAAGTGATCCATCCCATTGCCCATTCCCAGCTTCTGGCAAACAGAGGCTAAGGACGCCATTGATGGACCTATCCTCCATGTGTGACCAAGACACTTTTCAGTATGTTCCATCTTTACAACACCAGAGCAGTCCCAGAACCAAATATCTTTCTCAATGGACACCACTTGAAAACACAAATCCCACCCAGTCTACCTAGGAGTAATCCTACATAGATCTCTCACTTATCCTAACCATCTGAGCAAAACATGACGAAGGTGAGGTAGCATAACAACCTTCCAAGCAAATTGGCTGGCACTTCACTGTGAGCAAATGCTCAAATGCTTCAATTATCTGTTTTAGCCTTCTGTTACTTTGTACCATAATACAATGCTCCGGTCTGGCTCAATCAGTCTCACATCAAGTTGGCTGACACACAACTACACTCCACCACGTGCATTGTAACTGGGATGATTTGACCCAAACAGTACCATGGCTCCCCGTGTTAAGCATCGTCACTCCCGCACACATTCGTCCCGCACACATTCGTCTGGCCATGGCCAGAATGGTTGAGAAGATGAGGGCAAACCTGAGCCTACCACTATGCAGAGATCTCTTTGACCATCCAAGAGTGCACTTGTTGTTGAGGCACCAGTGTGGGCCCATTTACCCTGTCCAGATTTCTCTGCAAAACTAATGATCCAACCAGTGGACTGCAGCTGACATCAGAAACTCTTCTCCATGCCACTCCTGGGTTCTTCTGAACTGATTTCAAAAGACCTGGGTCAATGTGCAGCCAGATTTCATACCTGGGGCCAATAAGAGGATCCCACCTGCAGCTGTGGCCAAAGACAGACAATGTCACACATCACTGACAACTGTACTCTGACCAGATTTGATGGTGGTCTGAGGGCTCTGCGCTCCACTGATGAGGCTGCTGCAAATGACATTGGCAAGCTCCACATATGACAAGAAGAATGGGAGCTCTGCCTCATAGAACAAGCTCCTTGGATACTAGCTTTACTACTGGTCCAATCCACAGTGACTCTGCAAGCAGAGCTCTTACTAAGATCAATGGAGTTCTTCCCAGAGTTTTTACAAGACTGGGCCCTATTTAACTATTGCTGTAATTCAATCTCTGAGGGAAGAAAAATTGGACACTAAAAGGGTAACAGACTAGGATAATAGCTGGTAGCTATTACCAGCAGGACAGTGGGGTGGGAGGAGGTATTGTTTCATATTCTCTGTGTATATATAAAGTCTGCTGCAGTTTCCACGGTATGCATCCGATGAAGTGAGCTGTAGCTCACGAAAGCTCATGCTCAAATAAATTGGTTAGTCTCTAAGGTGCCACAAGTACTCCTTTTCTTTTTGCAAATACAGACTAACACGGCTGTTACTCTGAAACTAGGAACAGTCAGTCTTCTTTTGCCCAAAACACTCTAAAGATGGTGCTTACTGCAAATGGAAACTAACAGTTTGTAGTACTAGTATCTTCTCTTTTGGGAACAGAATCTTACAGAACAAAAACTAATCCTAGTTCAGTTTCCTCTTTCATCAGGCTCAAGACTCTTTCACAAGACTCTTAAACAAGGAGATGGCTGAAGAAGGTAGCTGACTAGGATGATCCTCATCCATTTCCCTTTGCATATTGCTCTAGAATACCATTTCAGCCACTACTGTTGCTGTAATGGCAGTCGAGTCTTAAATCAATGATCACATGGCATAAGGCCTGTGGATCTGGAGTTTTGCTTGGACTAAAATTTTATTATCCCACTGATTTTTACTTAAGCGCTTTTGAAAATTTTACCCTTGATCTTTAATTATAGGTACACACCTACTAACTTATCACCACAAATCATCCTTCTGAAACTGTTGTGAAAATGCTTTCAGTGTGGCCACAGTAATATCATCTACTTCTCAGAATCAATTCCCCCATCCCACCTGACTGCATGCTCTTTCAAAATCTGGGTTTAAGATACACATAGGTAATTAATAAAATTAGGATTGGCTAACTATTGTTGATATTAAAATAAACCTAACAGTCTAAAACACTAAGACAAACTGCTAGCAAAACATCTTATTTCACAGTTGTTTGATACAAGTTTAAAGCATACCTGTTTGACATCCCGAACAAGGTGAAAGAGTGTTGGGTTAGTTGGGCCTTGTTTCTTTACACACACAAAGAGAAAAAAAGACAAGACAAGACAGAATTTTGGACAGTTAAATTATAAGTGATCTTAAATATGCAAGACTGACATAAAAACATGGAAGCAAAAGCAAAAAAAAAAAAATTTGCATATTGACCTTAATGAAAGAAGTTTTCTCTCTAAACAGTTAGCAACCATCAGATACAAATAGTCCACCATCTAGCAATACTATGTGCTAAGCATTTGCCCTTTGTTTCTGGTTTTCCTTTCTGATTTTGTAACCCTGAGAGAGAAAGAGCAAGAAAGTGTGAGTGAGAGAGAAAGAGCAAGAAAGTGTGAGTGAGAGAGAGAGAGCAAGCGAGCGCAGGTCAATGTACTGTAGCTCTTGTCTCACATCCACAGTATGGACCACCACTCATCAATGTATGGATTCTTGCTAAATTTTATGTATAATTTTACTTTTTAGCTCTTTTAAAACACAGAAATCAATTCCATTCATGTTTACAGAATTTAAAAATGAAAATAATTGAGTAAAGAATTTGTCATGTGGTAAGTTACTAAGTAAAAGTAGTTTTTACTTTGATACAAGTCTTCATTTCCCAAACTGCTGTATAGCGTTGCTGTTAGAACATTTGCCATGCTCCATCCCAGAAGTGGTTGTACATCAGCAGTGTGTGAAATCATCTCTGTACAATTCACTTAAAAGTGTGAAATGCTATATATTAAATATTTAAACACTTTAACAAATATTAATCGTTAACTATTTATTTACATATGGCAATAGTATATTGCCTTTATATAGTATCTTTTACTTTGAGAGTGGTTTATAAAGATAAATATTGCTCACATTTTACAGATGAGGAAACTGGGTAGAGACAATTTTTTTTTTTTTTTTGGACAAAGTTAAACTATTTACAGAATTGGGTACAGAACCTGGTCTCCTAGTTCCTAATCCTTTGCTTTAATCACTAGACACTCACTTACAGAAAAAGATTATTTTTGTGCTTTCTAAAACAAAATTCAAATTATTTATACCCTCTAATTTCCCTTGAAAGAGCCAAAAGTAACTGTAATATAGTTACCATAGTGTTTGTAAAAATACTCTGAAGATGTAAAGCACATTAACTGCTAAAAAGCATAAAACATTGTTTCTTTCATTAGATGGCTGTCCTCCATGAACACCTCATCTTGGGTCACAGGGACTCCTGCATGCAACTTTGATAACCAGTGAGTTTCAAGGCTTCTTGTACAGATTAGTTGTCAAATGCTGACACTCAGAATGTTCTTATCTCCTTCAGTGCATGCCTAAAACTTTAGTTCTTTTATAATGGATCACCATAGAAATACATGGTTATATGTTGCACCTACTGTTAGTATGATCACCTAGTAAAGTAGTTAAATATAAGGAATAAATGCCCATCAAAACAATGTTTTAGGTCATCTTTAAAAATAAGTAGGCATACAAACCAAGAGTTTTCTAACAGCTATTTTTACAAATTTTTCTAATTATGACAAGTTTACAGCTGTGACTTTATAAATTGAATACAGTATATAAAATGCTCTACAATTGTCATTAACTTACTGTGTTGTAAAGCTCTTCCAGCCTGGGAATTGTAAGGAACTTGTGCATGCTTACTCCATTTTCAATAAGAAGTTTCACAAATGCAACTCGATCCATCACAAGGGCATCTAACATAGCCTGTTCCAGGGATCCAACCTGACGGGGATGGGGGGAAGGGGAGGGGAGAGTGGTAAATGAATTACTTATTCAAAGGCTATTACTGAGGTAAATGTACCTCTACTTATCCAGCAGAACTAAATTAAAACAGTCTCATTTAAGGTAAGGTAAGCAAGGAAATAGTGAGAGGGTATTTAACAACTTTTGACAAGTTGTTTCGAAAAACAAACAAGGTCAGAACTGCCATTAGTTCCAACAATGTCCCTGTGGTTTGACTGCGAAGTACTGTAAGGTTGTTTTATTAATGGAAAACCAAAATCTGAACCTTAGTACCCAAGCCAATTTACAAGCCACAGACAACAAAAGAAAAGAAAGACGCCGCTGTTTAATACCCAATGTATGTTTCTTCCAATTGACAACAAGAATCTGTTCCACTGGCTTCTTTTTAAAGAGCTTTATAAGATCATGTAATATGAAAGCAGAAGAAGCTAATGAGTTGAGGTATCTTTAGATGTTACAGCTCATGATAAATAAGAGAGTTAAGTTTTAATCTTTTGTACTGAATATTTTTCCCTTGGTACTTGGAACATTTAGCACATTAAAAAAAAATCCAATAATTTTAGATAAGTAAAGAAACGAAGTAGCTAAATGTCCAGAAATTGCTCTCCTAAAAATGTCAATATTCTACTATTTCTACAGAATCAAAAGATTCATTTTTTGAAATAATTTAGCTTCTGTCCTATAAAGTACCACTATGTTTAATCTAGAATATTTACATACCAGCCACTGTTGTCCATAAACAAAAACATGATTTTTGGCAATATCAACTCTGTCCCACGCCAGTGTAAGGACAAGCTGGTCAAATGCAGAAGCATTTGTACCTAAATCAAACAAACAAAGAATGTATATTTATAATTTAAGTTGCTCATAAAATGAAGCCTTATTTCATAAGTTTTCAAATTTTAAGGTGGGATATTACACATTAAGACACCCTAAAACTGTTTGAAACAAATATTTTTACCCCAAAGGAAACACATAAAATTAGAATATATTGTTTTTATTACTTAACACCATATATCCATGTCATAAGTAAGTAGCTGTAACAGAACAATTACTCACTTTGGAAAAATTTAAACAAAAAATACATAAATATCACTGTACTATATGACAGGTTTCAGAGTAGCAGCCGTGTTGGTCTGTATTCGCAAAAAGAAAAGGAGGACTTGTGGCACCTTAGAGACTAACCAATTTATTTGAGCATAAGCTTTCATGAGCTACAGCTCACTTCATCGGATGCATACTGTGGAAAATACAGAAGATGTTTGTTTTTATACACACAAATCATGAAAAAATGGGTGTTTATCACTACAAAAGGTTTTCTCTCCCTGCACCCCACTCTCCTGCTGGTAATAGCTTATGTAAAGTGATCACTCTCCTTACAATGTGTATGATAATCAAGGTGGGCCATTTCCAGCACAAATCCAGGGTTTAACAAGAAGGGGGGGGGGTAAGGAAAACAAGGGGAAATAGGTTACCTTGCATAATGACTTAGCCACTCCCAGTCTCTATTCAAGCCTAAGTTAATTGTATCCAATTTGCAAGTTAATTCCAATTCAGCAGCCTCTCACTGGAGTCTGAATTTGAAGTTTTTCTGTTGTAATATCGCAACTTTCATGTCTGTAATCGTGTGACTAGAGAGACCGAAGTGTTCTCCGACTGGTTTATGAATGTTATAATTCTTGACATCTGATTTGTGTCCATTTATTCTTTTACGTAGAGACTGTCCAGTTTGACCAATGTACATGGCAGAGGGGCATTGCTGGCACATGATGGCATATATCACTTTGGGAGATGTGCAGGTGAACGAGCCTCTGATAGTGTGGCTGATGTTATTAGGCCCTATGATGGTGTCCCCTGAATAGATATGTGGGCACAGCTGGCAACCTTCAAATCCTTCAAAACCTTCAAAAACCTTCAACCTTCAAACAGTTGGTATACCTTCAAATCAGCGGCACTGCTATGGGTACCCGCATGGCCCCACAGTATGCCAACATTTTTATGGCTGACTTAGAACAACACTTCCTCAGCTCTCGTCCCCTAGCATCCCTCCTCTACTTGCGCTATATTGATGACATCTTCATCATCTGGACCCATAGAAAAGACGCTCTTGAGGAATTCCACCATGATTTCAACAATTTCCATCCCACCATCAACCTCAGCCTGGTCCAGTCCACACAAGAGATCCACTTCCTGGACACTACAGTGCTAATAAACAATGGTCACATAAACACCACCCTATACCGGAAACCTACTGACCGCTATTCCTACCTACATGCCTCCAGCTTTCACTCTGACCACACCACACGATCCATCGTCTACAGCCAAGCTCTGCGATACAACCGCATTTGCTCCAACCCCTCAGACAGAGACAAACACTTACAAGATCTCTATCAAGCATTCTTACAACTACAATACCCACCTGTGGAAGTGAAGAAACAGATTGATAGAGCCAGAAGAGTTCCCAGAAGTCACCTACTACAGAACAGGCCTAACAAAGAAAATAACAGACTGCCACTAGCCGTCACCTTCAGCCCCCAACTAAAACCCCTCCAATGCATTATCAAGGATCTACAACCTATCCTGAAGGATGACCCAACACTCTCACAAATCTTGGGAGATAAGCCAGTCCTTGCCTACAGACAGCCCCCCAACCTGAAGCAAATACTCACCAGCAACCACATACCACACAACAGAACCACTAACCCAGGAACCTGTCCTTGCTACAAAGCCCATTGCCAACTGTGCCCACATATCTATTCAGGGGACACCATCACAGGGCCAATTAACATCAGCCACACTATCAGAGGCTTGTTCACCTGCACATCTCCCAATGTGATATATGCCATCATGTGCCAGCAATTCCCCTCTGCCATGTACATTGGTCAAACTGGACAGTCTCTACGTAAAAGAATAAATGGACACAAATCAGATGTCAAGAATTGTAACATTCATAAACCAGTCGGAGAACACTTCAATCTCTCTGGTCACACGATTACAAACATGAAAGTTGTGATATTACAACAGAAAAACTTCAAATCCAGACTCCAGCGAGAGACTGCTGAATTGGAATTAACTTGCAAATTGGATACAATTAACTTAGGCTTGAATAGAGACTGGGAGTGGCTAAGTCATTATGCAAGGTCACCTATTTCCCCTTGTTTTCCTACCCCTCCCCCCCACATTCTTGTTAAACCCTGGATTTGTGCTGGAAATGGCCCACCTTGATTATCATACACATTGTAAGGAGAGTGATCACTTTACATAAGCTATTACCAGCAGGAGAGTGGGGTGGGCGGAGTCAAAACCTTTTGTAGTGATAAACACCCATTTTTTCATGATTTGTGTGTATAAAAACAAACATCTTCTGTATTTTCCACAGTATGCATCCGATGAAGTGAGCTGTAGTTCACGAAAGCTTATGCTCAAATAAATTGGTTAGTCTCTAAGGTGCCACAAGTACTCCTTTTCTTTGTACTATATAAACAGTTACATTTTCCCTCATATCACTAAAGTGCAATTTTGGGGTTATTTAATGCCTTTAAATTTAAAACCTCACCTTTTAGCAGCGCTGTAAGTATTGCAACATCAATATCTTGATGTTCATCTGACCCAATATGGAATACGGTAATCTGTTTTATTAAAAAAAACAAACAAAATGCATAATATTGAAATAAGTATTCCATCTCACTTTTAAAAACAGTATCTCCTCTATATTTTGTAGCACAAGGGATAAGCCTTTCACCATAAAGAACATAAAAATCTAAAATCAGTTTGAGTTTATGAGAACTTTGTTTGTTCATGTGTTTAAATACTGATACAAGATTGGGATTAGCGTATGGGATGCTATTGCCCTCATTCAGAAAAATACTTAAGTATGTACTTACATCCATCTTAATTAGTAAAGCAGCTAAGCAGTTTTCAAAACACCACCCCATAAGCAAAACACCTAAATTCCATTGACTTCAATAGCACTTTATGTTTGTGCTTAAAATTAAGAATGTGCTCAATTACCCTGCTGATTAGGGAATACTTTCCTGAATCATGGCCACTAAGACTAAACATTTTACCATAATACTGACCAAATAACATTAAAAAATTATTTCAGTTTTTGGGCCTCTATGTAGCAACAATATACTTCTTTAATTACAACATCTTGGGTTCATTTTATATTGTAAAATATCTTTTATTACACCATTTTGTGTTGATTAAAGAGAAAGCTATCAAGCTTACACCGAGCTCTTCTACACGTCTGGTTACAAAACCATCATTGATCATCATATGTAATCACAGTAAGCAGAATCACTTGACCAAAGGTATTAAAAAATGAACAAGAAAATTGGAGTTTGACTTTTATTTGGGGTCATTCTATCTTCCCTAGTTGTTCAGATTCCATCCCATAAAGATGGACCCTGACTGATACAAACAATCTGAGATGAATCTAAAATTAGATCTTACAAGTGCACATGCTTGAAATAAAAGGCTTCCTATGCTGAAATCCACTTACAAGTTCTTTTTTTTTCATACATTCCAACAACGTCTGAAACAGATGAACTGCCTCACTCTGACCGAAATTAAATGTCTTTTTGATGGTTGAAATGATTTCAGGTTCTGCTCCATCAGGAATATTTCTAAGATTACAAAAACAACCAAAAGCCCATATTGTTATACATGAACTGTAAGCTTGTCAATAAATATATATTTCAAATGGTCTAAGACATGCCTATCCAAAAGCTCTGGGTACATGTAAGAGCTTTACCAATATAATTATAACAACTGTCCAAAACTCAAGTACGTACCCCTTCTTCCTAAGGGCCATACAAACAGACTTTTCCCACAGTCTCCGAAACCAGCTTAGCACCTCCACCACCCAATAACCTCCAGTAAAATCCTAAGAGATAGCTAGGTTGTGTAGCATGACCTGGTGATAAAATCTGGGCTTTGGCAGATCAACGGGACCAAAGTGAACTCAAAAATTGAACTCCCTCTCTCTGAATATGTCCTGCCTCCCATCTCCTTCACAATTAAAACTAGCAGGCTCTTAGTTTTAGCTCCTCATCTCATCTCTACTGCCTCAGAATCACAATAGGAAAGGCAGTCTCTGACAAATAGGACCCTACATATTTAATGCTTTATGTATACCTGAAAACTAACTGGAAGCCAGTGAGGCGCATGGAACACAAATGCATTGTTTTTCCTGTATGGAACACCACTTCACAAGTGGGCAGCCACATCACACATCATCAGAATAGTCTTAAGGTGAATTTGTTTTCAAACAGTTCATACAGAATCATTTCCTCTCTCTTTTCAGTCAAGCTCTTACTGTACATACAGCTCATTAAATGAAACGGTCTGACAACTAAAATACTTTCAAGTGGTATTTTCAGGTAGCTTGGTAACATAGTGGGACTACATTAGTCTTGTGTCTCTGAGAATTCTGGTTCAATTCTGATTTCAGTCACAAGCAAAAATGAGTTTGGGGGCTTCATCCTACTGTCCCTTGGAAGCATTACAAAAGCACCACACAATTTACAAAATCTGGCATGACTGGCAGTCTCTGCTCAGGAGGAATCTAGAAGCAAAACAGTGTGGCAGCTCAGGACTGAGGTTTACTGGTACAGCTGTGTGGGAAGTTTGGCCAGAATGCATGATTTAAGTCATTGCTCTGACTTTCATGAACATGAGGCTCCTACACCAGTTTGTTAATGGGAAGTGCTCTCAAACAAGTCTAGCACTATTAGTCAAAGTATTAATCGTATGTAGGCTTACCCTCCCTCTTCTGTTTGCTTGTGAACATATGCCAGTATGTCTGCAGCTCTCCCAGTTCCCTCACATACTACTACTGGCACTGGAGGACTTTCTTGAAGGTATTCCAAAACTGTGAGGATAACATTGGGACCACCTTCAAATATCAGTGCTACCACAGGGACACCCTGTCCAATTCCTACAAACAGGTAAAAAAACATCAAATCAGTATTGAAGTCAAAATTAAACTTCCTTTAAAAAAAAAAAAAAAATCATGTTCTTTGATCCAAGCTTTACCAATGTGCTGTGATGCAAGCTTTTCTAAGTTTACTTCAGGTCTTCAAGTAACATGAAAACGTTACTACATCTCACATATAATTGCTTTGCTACAGCAGTTGAGATCATTACGATATTTGTATGTGAATATACAGCCAACAACTTACACAGTGCATGAACACATCATATTAACGCCCAGTCTTGCTTCACGGTATTTTATACCACTTGTTAAAACAATAAGATTAGAAGATGAACCATAATCCTTTTCTGCCTCACAAAAGCACATTGTCACTATGAAAAAAATGCATACTTTGTAACAAGCTAATTTTTAAAAGATTAGTAACGTGAATAGTGCCTGTATTCACGTTACTAATCTTTTAAAATATATATAAAGGAATATAGCATGATGTGAAAACTGTCTGGAATTCTTCAGAGAGGGAAAGATGTCAAAAACTAGAATAACATTTTCAGGGCCTTCAAGTACATTCTTATCAGTAATGGTTTCATTATCAATGGTGTTTTGCGGGTCACTGACACTCGCTACTTCTCTTTCCGATTCTTGACTCTCATTTTTAAATATTCTACTCTAGTTACCAGGCAACTTGAAATAAAATCAGGGAATTTTTGCCAACAAAACTAGTTTATGTGGCCAACTTGTCACACTACTGTATATCAAAAACTGTTAATTAGTAAACAGGATGGCAAGGAGGGGGACAGAAAGGAATTATCCTCTACAACAACAAATTTGTTGGCTACATTTCAGTCTTTAAAAACATTCAGGTAGTAAACAGTTACTTTTTTTTGCATTCCAATACTCTAAAATTGTTAAATGAACTAGGCTACATAGCACAAATAGTTTTTATCAGAATATCCAACAAAAGACAGCTGTTGGAAGTTATGGTAAGGCACTCTGGAGTTGAATCCAAGAAAAATTACATTAAAGCTGGACACATATAGATGAGATCCCCATAAAATCAAATGAGGACAGATTGCCTCTGTCGGAAAAACAATAGAAGTCCTCAGTTACACAGTCTGAGGAGATCACTGCTTCCAGTTTGAAATAAATTTATAATCAGTCATATAAAATACATTATAAACCTTTGCTAACTACTTAATCAGAAAAATACTGAAATGGACAAAAATTAAAATGCTGATTAGCAGACATTCTCAGTCTCAAATAAGAGTATGTGTGTGGAGAACATACTCCTATTGCTAAGAAATCATATAAACTCAATGGAATTCAAGAATCATAACTTTATTACTTTGATAGATCTATAACCATAAATATAGAATATGGGAGTGTTTTATAACAACATGAGCCCTTACATGGGGATCTCTCTTCAACTACTAGACAAAATATTTTTAAAGAAACACAATATCAATTTTTGTTTATTGATTTTTTTTGCAAAGCTACAAAACACAGTTTCTACAGGAAGGGGAAAAAAGTATATAGCTGACAGGTGCAGATCAGTCTTCATGTGACTAAGGATTACGAGTAAGGCTGCGAGTCTTCACGGAAGTCACAGATAACATGACTTTCCAAAACTTCCATGACTTCTGCACCTAAGATTTAGTCAGGAGTATTTATAGTACAGGTCATGGACAGGTCAGGGGCTGTGAATTTTTGTTTATTGCCCATGACCTGTCCATGACTTTTAGTAAAAATACCCATGACTAAATCTTAGCCTTAAATATGAGGCACTAACTAGAGAAATATTCTTAAAGGACAGATACCTTTATGTTAATTTAATACAGGAGAATGCAGATCAGCACAAAATGCCTGGGGTTCCTTCCCCTAAATAGCAGTGACCCTTAATTCAAATTTCCCAGTCATCCCCTATCATGAAACTACAAGTGATTAGCTTCAGAGAAAATGGCTAATCAGATTAGTGAGGGCTACCAGTACTTGCGGGGCCAGACGTATGACCTACTCACTCCAAAGCCTTAGGTGATACATCCTGGCTAGACCTAGTGATGCTACACTGCCAATTCTAGAACTGGCTGGTGGCTAGTGCCAGCCCCAGTGGGCCACGAAAGAAGCCTCCTAGCTGCAGCAGGGTCAGTAAGAATCCATAAGCAGTGCCCAGGGTTCAAGTCAGCAGCTGAAGTGATGTCCAGAAAAGCCAAGACATGGATTTTCCATGGGCAACTGGGTTCCTGAAAGTGTCTTAAATTCAGGGCTTGTTTACACACAGAGGTTGCACCAGTTTAACTTAGATCAGTTTAAAAACCAGTTTTGTTAAACTGGTGCGTATTCCTGGGTGGACACAGTTTAAAACTGGTTATATCGGTTTTGCTTGCACCTTTAAGTTTCCTTCGAGAGGGATCTTGTGTCCACTTTGGTTCAGTTAGATCAATTTGTCAGACACAGTAATGGCTGTGAAGTAGGATAAATTTTTAGGAAAACTGAAAGAGGGAAGCTTAGCCTCAGATGTTTCATTATACATGGAACTGGCAGCACCACCTATTAGGGGCTCATAAAGGGAATTGTTGGGCAACCTTGTTGGCCGTTTCTTACACCTTTGACTAACTTCAATTCTTTGGCTAAAATATTCTATGCCAGGTGTCCACCCCAGAATGATGATTTGGGGGGCCGGGGGAGGGGGAGAGAGAGAGAAGAGGGTATTTCAGCCAAAAGAGTTCAGCCATTTCTAGCAGCCTTTTTTTTTTAAGACACTTTAATGTCCCCATGCTTTGGAGACTTGAAATTTTGCAGGGATGGGCTTTGTGTGTGATGGTGTGTTTCTAATTTTCTAGATGCACGACTTGAGATGCTGCAGTCTGATTTGCAGAAGGCAGGGCACTCACAACTACAAGTGAAGTCAGTGGGGATTGTGCTTTCAACATATAAAGTAGAGTATAATGTTAAGTATTCTGAAAAATCAGGTCCTAAAATGCCTCAAACTGGACACCAAAAATTAGCAGGTTTTTTTGTTACAGATCTGGAAATATTTTAATTTATGAATACTGTATGTTGACCTAGCTACTGGGATGTTTACTATATGAATACAGTAGAACCTTGGAGTTACGAACACCAGAGTTACAAACTGACCAGTCAACCACACACCTCACTTGGAACCAGAAGTACGCAATCAGGCAACAGCAGAGGAAAAAAAGCAAATGCAATAAAGTACTGTGTTAAACGTAAACGACTAAAAAAAAAAAAAAAAAAGGAAAGCAGTATTTTTCTTCTGCATAGTAAGTTTCAAAGCTGTATTAAGTCAATATTCAGTTGTAAACTTTTGAAAGAACAACCATAACGTTTTGTTCAGAGTTATGAACATTTCAGAGGTATGAACAACCTCCATTCCTGAGGTGTTCGTAACTGAGGTTCTACTTTATGTTGATTTAGTTTAAAACAGAGCTGTCAGGAAAAAAACACACAAGAAAGAGACATTACAGTAGTAAGGCAACCTGGATTCTGCCATTTCCTAACTTGTGAGAGCTTCACTTCACAACCTTAATAATGTGGGGGTTTTTTAAAGCATAGTTTGTGTGTGTGTGTGTAATATTTTTCAATAGAACAGAGCAACATTAGTCATTGCCAAGACATTATGATCACTTACTTGCATGGATCCGCTGCAAATTGATAGTTTTTTCCAGTTCTCTTCGCAATTTAACTTCTGCTCCATACTTTCCAACTGTCCCATCATCCACCAATATGAAATGGGAATGGAGATTATTTAGGACATTTAGTTTGCTTAGAGGATTTAACAGAGTTTGATATGGAGCAACAACCTAAAAAACAACATATAACAGGCATGATTTGCCAAGTGCCAGTCTGATCACCACAATTTTGGCTATTTGGTCTGGTTAAAAGTTAAAGGCAGTGGTGAGCTAGAGCCAGTTCGTACTGGTTCGTGCGAACCGGTTGTTAAATTTTGAACCAGTTTTAGAACCGGTTGTTAAAAATTGTTATGGCTCCCCAGGTCCCTCCCCGGCCTTCCCTGCTCTCGCAGAGCCTCAGCATGCCGCGCTGCCAGCGCTCTGGACTGCTCCTGGGCAGCTCTGCAGCTCCTGCCGCTTTCAGCGGCATGATAAGGGGGTGGGGCTGCGAGCTCCAGCAGGCCATGCGGCATCCATACATGCTGCCCTGAGCAGCATGGTAAGGGGGCCAGGCTGGGGCTGGGAGGAGGGGTTGGATAAGGAGCAGGGAGCGGTTAAAGGGGGTGGAGGTTCTGGAGGGGCGGCCAGGGGACGGGGAACAGGGGGGGTTGGGTAGGCGTAGGAGTTCCAGGGGGTCTGTCGGGCAGGGCCAGTGCAAGCACTAGGCAGACTAGGCGACTGCCTAGGGCGCCAAGTGAGCAGACCTTGAAGGACACCTGCCAGCACACGTCTTCACCCAGCAGCTCTGCCTATAGGCTGCATTTTTGCAGGAAAGCAGGTTACTGTACAACACAGTAATTCTGCTCTAAAGTGCTATAAAGAGGGGGCCTCTAGCAAATTAAAACCCTGACTGCAGATAAGAACAAAACAGACAGCAAAAAGTATATGCCTGAATCCATGAAGACGTCTACCAAGCTCTCTGTGTTATAGCTGCAGACAACTTGAAATATCCTTTTCAGAGTTGAGTCTCAAGATGGAGAGGACAATTTTAAGAAGTAGTTTACACAACGTCTGACTTTCCAGTTAAAGTTACAATAGTGCAGTGGTGACTATGCAGTTATGAAGGGAGAGAAAGAACTTTCATTCTGCGTAACTCATTCTCCAACCTGCCAAAACTCTACTCAGGCAATGGAGTGGGTGGAGAGCTCTAATCAGGGAGTGGCTCCCTCCCTGAATCCTGAGCTGCATGGCTGTGGCCCAAGTTGAGCTGCAAGGAAGCAGCTCTAGTTTATGCCAGGGAGAGGATCAGGCAAAGGGGAGCTCTGCTTTGCTATGTGTATTTCTCACCTTGCTCCCCTGCACAAAGTGTGAGATGGGCAGCTAGCACAAGAGGCAGAAGAGCCACCTCTGCTAGTAGAGAGTTCCCACACGCGGAAAGGGCTGGCCATTGCCACTGGCCATTTCCCACTGCTTTAAGTTCACTTTGCTCCCTAAATTAAAAGAATGCAGAGTCCAACCCTAAATCCCTAGACACTTGAATATCCCTCTAAAGAGTTTAGGACCACACATTTCATTTACTGTCTATGGGACTTGTGCTCCTTTATCTCTTTGCTACTTTTGAAGATCTCCCCACTACGGTAATGTCAGGTTTTGTAACTTTTTGGAAACTTTTCCATAGACCTATAATTTCTTATGCTTGTTCTCAGATCACAGAGTAAGTTTTCTGGAAATTCTGTGGCTACTCTAACCTGCTCTTTGGGGACATACAAGTGTACAACAGTCTACTCTATTGAATTAGCGTTTCATAATTTCTTACAGCAGTAACTCCTCTGTAAATCACAACAGATGTCCCTATATCTCCCAGAGCAAAGGTAGAAGTACCTCTGTATCACAAAAGGCAGAGGGACAGCAAACCTGAGCAGATTATTAAAACACATATACAAAAGATCATGCAGTTAAAAGTTATTTCAACTTGATAAGCTCATTCTTACGTCTCTTCCAACAAGGTCATTTCTGTTTTCAATCACCCCCCATGGGGCTATCCCAATAGTGCAAATCTTTCGAGATGATCTGGAAGCATGTTCTCTCAGGGCATCACCAACATGTTTTGCAACACCTGTTCATACACAAGAAAACATTCTGTATATTGAAACTACATCCTATTAGCATTAACCTCACCAATTACTGTGAAGATTAGAGAGCTCATTTAGTTGACAGCATAAAGAAAGACCTTCTGTGCACAAAACATATATTAACAGTAACAGAGTACTGAGAATTTCTAGTAACTTTACAACATATATGCCAGTCAGTCTTGTCAGGGCAGAAGACAAGTCGCACTATAGTACTGCATATTTTGAAGCAACATACACTTTTCACACAATTTACATGTTCTATATTGTTACATAATACCACAAGATTTAAGTTCATATGCTCAAAATAAAATTCAAACACATTAATTTGTTTAACTGTAAAGTCAGTCAAATTTTAGACAGTATTTTAGAGATATAAATATTGTGTTCCTCCGACTAAACAGTCATTCTGGAATCTGCTTACCTTTATTTAAAGAACTAGAATGTGGTTAAACTGTGCACATGAGTCTGTACTGTTATTTGAAGGTTTATATTATATAAAATTTATACTTTATTTATTTACCTGTGTTCACTCCTCCAGTTATAATCCAGGCACCTGTTGTTACTGCAGCTTTAATAAGACCTTTGCCAAGCAACTGTTTGATGCGTGGATGAAGTTCAAATTTCTGCATCCCCCCATGTACAGAGATAACAAGTCTGGGCAGCTCCATTTGCCATTCTTTAAGAATAAGTTGTAGAATGGCTTCAGGTTTAGTGTCATATGACAATCGTACATACTAAGACAAAAAAAGAAGTTGTGAGCGTTAGTAGGTTCCTATAATAAACCATTAAATTGATTAGGAAGATTCATGAGAACAAATACTATTGAATCCTGAACTACAGAAAAATATGCGTCTGTCATACTTTATGAACAATGGATTATAAGACCTGGAATAAGTATTTGCAGGTTCTCCAAAAATTCAAGTAGACAATGGCTATAAGATTTTGAAGGACTGACGAAGGCTGTAGGTAGGTTACACGTAGGCCCAACACAATAACACTGTGTTCTACAAACTTTTATGTGACAATTTCATGAACATTTCTAAATTTGAGTATATTAATGAAAATCTAAAATATTGCCAAAATATGACCAGTTCAATTGCTGAGGCTGAATGTATTTTCTGTCTGTATATCCCATGTAAAAAGATATTCCAATTGTGAAAAAACATACAACCATTCTCCCCATCCCCCGCATTACTCCCACATCTTCCAGAGAGGATGTCGGGGTAATGGAGTTAAGAATTATGCTACATCCCTAACATAGGCCATACAGGCAAGAGGGAGCAAATGGGCAGAAGTGAAACCTTACTCAGACCAGTTCCCAGCAGGCAGGGGTCCACACTAATACCACCATCACCACAATTGGTACTAATTAGTTGGCAATCTCAGCAGAGGTGCCAAATAACGAAAGAACATGGAGACAACTATTTTTTCCACTCCGAGAAGTGGTTCCTCCAAGACAGGGTTGAGGTACACTGCAAGTCAGGGAGAGGGAAACTTGCAGTGCTGTTATCCATGATGTAGCTGTTTCTGTGGATAAATGGACTACTTCAGTCTCCATGACTTTCAATCCACCACAAGCATGAATAGAAGAAATTTAGCAGAAGTTAATCATACCTTTCACAAAAAGGTTTTAGTCAGAGAAAACATGGTATTTCTAGTAACCAACGTCTGTTGCATTCAGACTTTTCTTTTTTAAAGTTTCCGTTCACTTTGAGACTTAATTAGCAGATTTGAGACCTCATTAGCAGATTTATTTAAAGGTTTGTTAAACAAAAACAAGCACGTATCTCACCAACCCACAACTCCAAGTAGAGGTCACTTTTACAGCACAGGTTTGAAAAGCGTTTAAATACTGGCTTTAGAACGGATGTGTGACAAACATTATTGTGGTAGTGAGTGGCACAACTAAGTAAATCAGACTTTCATTATGATTTACACAATTGGGAAGGGTGGCATGAACGAGGGACCTCACTTTCATAACTGAGATTTCACACACAAAAGGCTCAGACTATATAACAATGTTTGTTTGTTTTTTTCTAAACCTACCAGCCTCTCCTTATTTGCAGCGAAGACTTTACATGAAGCTAGCCAGCCTTTTGGTAAGTCACATGTGTTGTCTTTGGTTTAAAAATTACTGACTAGAGCAGTAGTCCCCAAACTGTGGGGCATGCCCCCCCTTAGGGGGGCGTGGAAGAACGTCCAGAGTATGCATGCAGTAGGGACCGGGCCACCCCCACAGGGGGAAGGGAGGGAGTGCCACCCAGCTCCGCTCTGCCTCCAGCCCAGCCCCAGCCTCAGCCGCAGCTCGACTCCAGCCCCAGCCCAGCTTCGGCCCCAGCCACAACTTCACTCCGCCCCCCAGCCCGGCTCTGCCTCTAACCACAGCTCCTTCCCCACCCCCAGTTCTGCATTCAGCCCAAGCACCTCTGCTGAGCCAACTGTGCAGCAGAGGAGATGGGGCACAGACAGATTCCATTACTGGTAAGGGGGGGCTGAAGGGGACAACAGGAAAAGTTTGGACACCACTGGACTAAAGAGAAGGACTCCTACTGATAGTAGGGAGGCTATCCTCTCACAACACAGGTATAGGCATTTCATCTGCTTGCCAAACCTTTCATTTCAAGATTTAAATGGCGTATCCAAACATCTTTGCCAATGGGTCAAGGGAAGGACAAAAAGTCATTTTGTACATACCTTTGCTCTGCACGAATGAGAGCCACCTTGAAAGTTAATGACACCATAAGCATCAGTTGAACTCTGTTCTGTGTGTTTTTCCACTGACCATTCTTCTATTTCCCTATTAAAATTTTCACCCAGTTTGACATCTGTATATTTCATGGCAAGACTCGCCGTAAAGCAAGCATGTTGCCTGACCAAGCGACCACAGCAGCACCTGTACAGGATTATATATTACATTTTATTTTTACATTTGTAGTCATTAATCTCATTGTACTTGGATGCATGGAGTAATTAAAGGGGACAAATCTTTTTATTGCAGAGGCAGCGGAAAAAAGTTAGAATTTTCATGCCTATAAAAGAACTATCTGAACCTCAGTTACACCTTTCTAGGGTTATGTCTATCCTAGCACTTTTGTTGGTAAAACTTTTGTTGATCGGGGCGTGAAAAAAGTACCCCCCAACCAACAAACATTTCAATCAACAGAAGCACTGTTGTGGACAGCACTATGTCAGCGGGACAGCATCTCCCGCTGACATAGGTACCATTGCTCGTTTGGGATGGTTTAATTATGCCCAAAGGAGAGCTCTCTCCCATCAGCATAGAGCCGCTATACAAGAGACCTTACAGTGGCATTGCTGCAGCAGTTCAGCTGTGCCACTGTAAGATCTGTAGTGCAGAATGATAAAGTACAGGAAAACCTTTGGATGAGTCACTCCTATCAGAAGACTGGCAGGCTGATGTAATCAAACCTGGCAAGAGATTTTGGCACTTCGCACTAACTCTCACCTATTTTCTTTAGCTTTCCACAGACAAAAGACCCATAACACTCAGAGCAAGGGTATACACGATTCATAATTATGTCAAATACTGATGGCTCTTATTCAAAGCTAAAGAGTGAGGTGAATTGGAAGCCAAAACACATTAAGAGTAACCAGCAGACTATCAGTGTTCAGAAAGGTTTGATTATTTAAGTTACTTTTTCCTAGGTATTATAGGTAGGGCTGGTAGCGCTGCATTATTAAGGTTGCCCAACACTCTCCATTACAAAACCCTGTTTCCAGTTGCCTATATCTTTGCCACATTAATCATTTGGGCTGAAATTTTACATGCCAAACTGAATGATTCAGGCTGAATATTTTTGAAAATTTCAGCCAAAATCGCTCAGCCATTTCCAATAATGACCCCATGCCAGGGAGAGTGCTTGGACTTTGTTCAGGCTTGGAAGCAAACACACATGAATCAGCGGTTAGATCCCCACAGCAGTCTGGTGAGTGTCCAAGAGGGTGGGGCTTGACCAAGTGTGTGACAGGTAGTGGGGAGACAGATTGGATGAGGGGCCTGGAAAGGGAGACGAAACATATTGGATGGAAGCTGGGAGAGGTGGTTGAAAGGGACAGGATAAAAGAGGCTATCCCCACTAAATCACACTGCCCTCCAATACCTGAAATGGAACCCCAACCCCCCCAAGTCTCAGCATTCCTCTGCTTGCAGGAAAAATCTGTGAAACCCAATGGCAAAGTGTGTGTCTCATCCTCCTCTAGTGCTCGTCCGTGGAGAACGACAACCACTTCCTGCTCTCTGTTACTATGTTAACTCAAATGGCAGAGTTCTGTGCTGTGGATCTAAAGGCTCCAAACTTGTTGATGAAACGTTGGTGTCAATATAATACATCCTGGAATTTGTTTTTTTAGTTCACTTTTATCAAAACCTAGGCAATTACACACAAAAAACTATGTTTAAAGAACATTGTTAAGGTTGCAAAGTCAAGCATTCAACAGTTAGAAAACACCAGAAATAAAGGTTGCCTTGTGTGCCGGACCATCCCTAGGGGGGTCCAGGGCAGAAGTGACGGATTTGTTTCTTCTGGGACTGACCGTGCTGGCAAATCGCAATGGCCTGCGGGGGCCCCCAGAGCGCAGGGCTGGAGCGGTCACCCTGATTCGCCCTACGCAATGGACGGCTCTGTATGTATGCATGCATTATGATAGAGTCTTTAATTATGTAATCACATACTATTTTTTTCCACATGATCCCTGCCTCATTCAGTGCACAGGATAGACCTGCTCTGGGAATGAACCACATTGTGTAACGAAAGAGACTGTTGCCTTTAGGACCTTACCTTATTTGTGGAAAAAACTGAATGAGGCAGGAGATGGCAGGAAGACAGGAGTATGGCCTCAGGGTTAAGGCAACTGAATGCTGCCCTGGCAAACTGGATTCTATCCCTGCCTCTTCCACAGTGTTCTTATGTGATGCTATTCAAGTCACTTAAACAAAATTTTTCATGGGTGGTGTCAAATATAAAGGGAAGGGTAAACCCCTTTAAAATCCTCCTGGCCAGAGGAAAAAAATCCTCTCACCTGTAAAGGGTTAAGAAGCAAAAGGGAACCTCGCTGGCACCTGACCAAAATGACCAATGAGGAGACAAGATACTTTCAAAAGCTGGGAGGAGGGAGAGAAACAAAGGGTCTGTGTGTCTGTCTATATGCTGGTTTCTGCAGGGGATAGACCAGGAATGGAGTCTTAGAACTTTTAGTAAGTAATCTAGCTAGGTATGTGTTAGATTATGATTTCTTTAAATGGCTGAAAAAAGAATTGTGCTGAATAGAATAACTATTTCTGTCTGTGTATCTTTTTTGTAACTTAAGGTTTTGCCTAGAGGGGTTCTCTATGTTTTGAATCTAATTACCCTGTAAGGTATCTACCATCCTGATTTTACAGGGGGGGATTTCTTTATATCTATTTACTTCTATTTCTATTAAAAGTCTTCTTGTAAGAAAACTGAATGCTTTTTCATTGTTCTCAGATCCAAGGGTTTGGGTCTGTGGTCACCTATGCAAATTGGTGAGGCTTTTTATCCAACATTTCCCAGGAAAGGGGGGGGTGCAAGTGTTGGGAGGATTGTTCATTGTTCTTAAGATCCAAGGGTCTGGGTCCGTAGTCACCTAGGCAAATTGGTAACGCTTTTTACCAAACCTTGTCCAGAAAGTGGGGTGCAAGGTTTTGGGAAGTATTTTGGGGGGAAAGACGTGTCCAAACAGCTCTTCCCCAGTAACCAGTATTTGTTTGGTGGTGGTAGCGGCCAATCCAAGGACAAAGGGTGGAATATTCTGTACCTTGGGGAAGTTTTGACCTAAGCTGGTAAAGAGAAGCTTAGGAGGTTTTTCATGCAGGTCCCCACATCTGTACCCTAGCGTTCAGAGTGGGGAAGGAACCTTGACAGGTGGCCACTAATGGTGTGTTCCTCATTTTCTGGGTGCCTGATTTGATACCCTCAGGTCTAATCTGCAGAAGTGCTGAGCACTTACAGCTGCAACTGAAGTCAATGGGATTTGTGCTTTCAATGTACACTGCTATGTAATGGTAAGTACTCTGAACAAAAAAGAAAAAAATTCAGGTCCTAGTCATCTCAGCTTTGTCACCCAGAACTAGTGAAAGCTTTTGATCTTATTCTCTGTGCCTCAGCTCCGCACTGAAAATGAAATAATACCAATACCTGACCTCACAGGGGTGTTGCAAAAATAAATTAACACTTGTGAAGCACTCAGATAATGTAGTGATGAGCACCATAGAACAGCCCATGAGGAAATTAATAATTCTGTTTTCAGAAAAGGGTTTGAATAGCATGTAGTAACATAAAAACATAAGAACGGCCATACTGGGTCAGACAAAAGGTCCATCTAGCCCAGTATCCTGTCTTCTGACAATGGCCAATGCCAGGAGCCCCACAGGGACTGAACAGAACGGGTGATCATCAAGTGATCCATCCCCTCACCCATTCCCACCTTCTGAAAAACAGGGCCTAGGGACACCATTCCTGTCCATCCTAGCTAATAGCCATTGATGGACCTATCCTCCAGGAACTTATCTAGTTCTTTTTTGAACCCTGTTATAGTCTTGGCCTTCATAACATCCTCTGGCAAGGAGTTCCACAGGTTGACTGTGCGTTGTGTGAAAAAGTACTTCCTTTTGTTCGTTTTAAACCTGCTGCCTATTAATTTCACCCCTAGTTCTTGTGTTATGAGAAGGAGTAAATAACACTTCCTTATTTACTTTCTCCACACCAGTCATAATTTTATAGACCTTAATCATATCCCCCCTTAGTTGTCTCTTTTCCAAGCTGAAAAGTCCCAGTCTTATTAATCTCCACTTATATGGTAGCAGTTTCATACCCATAATCATTTTTGTTGCCCTTTTCTGAACCTTTTCCAATTCCAATATATTATTATAGTATATGTTCTATTAAAGAAGGTTGAGGCCACATGTTGAGCAACAAAGATTGACCAAAATATCAAAAAGATGCTCATAAAGTGAGCACAGTCCATTCTGTACACTGAATGAGAAAGGGAAAAAATAAAAATATGATCATGTAATTAAAGACTGCATCATAATGCATATGCATTCAGTGGCTTTAATTCTGGTATTCCCTAACCGATGAGGGTTTGACTTTGCAACTTTAATAATGTTTTTAATGTAATTTTTGCATGTAATTTTATGCAATAACTACCCCATAGTTAGGGCCCTACCACGCTCCTTTTTGGTCAATTTCATGGCCATAGGGTTTTAAAAATAATAAATTTCATGATTTCAGCTATTTAAAACTGAAATTTCACGGAGTTGTAATTGTAAGGGTCCTGACCCAAAAAGGAGTTGGGGGGTGGTGAAAGGTAGGAGCGGCTGCAATACTGCTACCTTACTTCTGCGCTGTTGCTGATGGTAGAGCTGCTTTCAGAGCTGGGCAGCTGGAGAGCCACTGCCAGCAGCAGCGCGGAAGTAAGGTTGGCAAGGTATAGCCCTCACTCAGCAGCTGCCACTCTCCGACCATCCCCTCTGAAAGCAACAGCACAGAAGTAAGGGTGGCAATACCGCAGCCCCCCTAAAATAACCTTGCGACCCCCCTGCAACTCCCTTTTGGGTCAGGATCCCCAATTTAAGAAACACTGGTCTTCCCCCGTTAAATCTGTGTAGCATAGGGTAAAAGCACACAAAAGACCAGACTTCATGGGGGGAGACCAGATTTCACGGTCGGTGATGCATTTTTCACGGCCATGAATTTGGTAAGGCCCTACCCATAGTGCATACAACTTCCATATAATTCTGTATATTTTATACAATCTTCTATTTCTCGTCTTCTGCTGGCTGGTCGTTTTGTAATATTATTAAAATGCTTTTTAAAAAGTTACAGTAAGTCTCTGAATAAAATATTTAACAAGCAAAGGTCATAATAATTATCACTAAAAGTAAAGAGTTGCTTACCTGACAAGTTGTTGACAAATCTGACACCCTGGAAGACATCTATGAGAAAGAATACACAGGTAAACACGAGATTAACATTTTTTGTACACTTACTATGTATACAGAACAAAGATTATTGAACAAAAAAACAGATCTATAATGATACGGAAAACGTGTACCTAACGTTTCACCAAAAATATATGTTCCAAGCTTTTCTTCATGTATTTCTCCGATTAACATTAATATAGTAAAGCATGGCAATGCAGGGATGGTTAGCGCAAAAACTACATGCTCCATATCTATTTGTTAAGCTACAAAGGACAACTTCTATTCAAAAAGTTTCTACCTGCACTCACTGAAACATTTGTGAACAAACTTACACCTTGTCTACATTACACAGTTTCGTCAACAAAACAGTGGAGGTGCACACACAACAATATTCCTCTGCTGATTTAACTCTCCTGCTACGCCAACCTAATAAAACCACCTTGATGAGCCGCATTAAGCTTTTTGCAACAAAGTTAGAGCAACATAGTGTCAGTGTAGACCAGGGAAGGGCAAACTATGGCCTGCAGGCTGGATCCAGCCCATCAGGCACCACGTCCCTGGGGGATGGAGGAGGGCAGAGGGCTCTGTGCACCCCCCCCCAGCTCCCATTGGCAGGAAATGGGGAACCACAGCCAATGGGAGCTCCAGGGCTGGTACCCACAAGGCAAGCACAGCAAAGCCGCCTGCCCCACCCCACCCCCAGGAGCCACTGCTGGACACGCTGGCCACTTCCGGTAGCAGCACGGGGCCAGGGCAGGCAAAGAGCCTGCCTGAGATCCACTGCACTCCGCTGCCACCCTGGAACCGCACCAAGTAAGCGGCGCCGGGCCAAAGCCCATACCCCGAAACCCCTCCTGCACTCCAACCCTCTGCCCTGAGCCCCCTGCCGCACTCTGCACCCCCTCCTGAACTCCAATCCCCTGCCCTGAGCCCCCAACCCCCTGCCCCAGCCCTACATTCATGGCCCTGCATACAATTTCCCCACCCAGATGTGGCCCTCGGGCCAAAAAGTTCGCCCAGCCCTGGTGTAGACACTGCATTTGCTTATGTTTCCCTAAGTGGTCTCTAGGAGGTGTCCTGCAATACTCATCATGACTGCTCTGCTAAGCAGTCATGGGCAGCGAGTTCTATGGGCCTGTGGTGTCAGGGCACCAGAAATATTCCTGGCCTGGGGCCCGACTCCAGCCATGTCTGAGGCCGGGTCTCTCCCTTGGCCCTGCTTCCGCCCCCAGGCGTTCCCCCCATGCAATTTAAAATGGCCCATGGCCCCCCACTCACCACCAGCAGTGCAAGAGAGCTGAGCGGCTTCCTACCTGCTCTCTCAACATGGCTGCCGACCCCTCCCTGCAGCCCCTGGACGGGGTGGGTCTGTGTCCTGCCCCAAGCACCCTTGGGGCCAATAGGAAGCTGCGAGGGCAGTGCCTGGGGGCAGCAGCACACAGAGGGCCCCTGGCCCGCCCTGCCTTGGAGCCCCAGGTAAGCACTGCACCACCCCAACCCCCTCCCAGAGCCTGCCCCCCACAGCCTGCCCCCAAACTCCCTCCCAGAGCCTGCACCCCCAGCCCGGAGCCTGCACCCAAACTCCATTCCAGAGCCTGCATCCCCACCCTCTTCCACACACCCCCCCTGCCCCCAAACTCCCCTCCAGAGCCTGCACCCCTCCCCCCCTCCTGCACCCCCTCCCCTTGCCCCATCCCGGAGCTTGCACCCCAGACCCCCTCCCCCACCCAAACTCCCTCCCAGAGCCCAACCTCTCACCCCTTCTGCACTCCCTGCCAGAGCCTGCATCCTGCACCCCAATCCCCTGCCCAGGCCCTGAACCCCAGACCTCCCTCCCAGAGCCTTAGGCAGGTGGAGGGTGGAGTTGGAGGGGGGGGGAAAATGGGCTCTGGGCCTTCTGGGCACCACCACCACCATTTCTACAAACCTGCCACCCCTATAAGCAGTTTCTATTCTGCTGCCCTGCAGACAGGTACACAGGCATGCACCCCTCCCCCTTTAAAGCCCCGGAAATTTTTGAAATTTCACTTCCTGTTTGCTCAGCTTGGTCAGCTCACATCACATCTTCCCAACTGACCATGCCAGCTTTTCACAGCAAACGGGTTCCCACGTGGAGTACACTGGAGTTGCTGGATCTGTGGGGAGAGGAGGCTGTGCAGTTGCAGCTCCAATCCAGCTGTAGGAACTTTGACACCTAGAAGCAGATTGCTCGTGGCATGGATGAGAAGGAGCATGAAAGGGACATGCAGTGCCCTACTTAGGAGCTGCAGTGCCCTACTAAGATAAAGAAGCTGAGACAAGCTACCAGAAGGCAAAGGAGGCCAACGTCACTCTGGTGTAGCACCAAAAATATGCTGCTTCTACAAAGAGCTGTATGCTATCCTCAGTGATGACCCCACCTCCAGTGCCAAGAGCCTCGGGGGGGGGGGGGGGAAGAAGACCACTGAAGGCAGTGCCCAGCAGAGTCAACCCCGAGAACGAAGTGGTGGATGAGCAGGGTGAACTGGAGGAGGATTTGGGACAGGCAACAGGCTTATCTGGTGGTGTGGCAAGCCAGGACCTCTTTCTGACTGCAGAGGGGTCTAGCCAGTGCCAGCAGCAGTCCGGCAATGGTGTGCCTGAAGTAGGAGACGGGAGCTCCAGTACGTACTCATTTTTCTTTGATAATGCATGGTTACATGAGGTAGGTGTGTCCTTTATTTTGTTACATGGTACATGTGAGAGAAGGGATCAAAATTACCCCTAGTTACTGTTTGTATCTGCTTCGCATTCCCCTGTGCAGCTACGTAATGGGAGCCCTGTGGAAAAGTTTAATACACACCGAGATCTCCTAAGAATCCTCCATAGAGATCTCTAGGAAACTTTCCTGTAGATACTCTGCAATCCTTTGCCAAAGGTTCCTTGGCAGAACTGCTTTGTTTCTTTCTCCGTTGTAGGAAATTTTGGCAAGCCAATCAGCAATTACTTCTGGAGGAATCAAAGCATCACACAGGCGAGCAGCATATGGTCCCAATCTGAAGTGACACATCTGTAGGAGAGGCACCCTTGCATTTTCAGTTACCCTCAATAGTATGATTTCAGCTTCCTTCGCCGCCCACCTGTGGAAAACGGTGCTAGTATTCAGAATAATGTCCCAGGACCCTTATACTGATCCTCTTCTGAAACCACCCAGACCCTTTATCCTGTCTTGCACCTTCTTCCCCTGGGCCAAACTCACCATGTTTAGTGCTCTGGCCGTGCTGTGTGCTTAACAAGGGAAAGTGAGAAAAAGGTGTATGTAACTTTTATGATTTAAGACTGAGTGCACATACAATAATGACACTGTGTATTGCTTCTTTTGCTTCTGCAGATGTGCCCTTGAGGGTGAACTCCTACAAACCAGCGGAGCACCTCCATCAGATAAGGAAGTGAGCAAGGAGGAGTAAGGAGGACATGTTTCGGGAATTGCTGCAATCATCAGATCAGGCCAATAACAAGCACAGAATGTTTAGACAAATGAGAAACTAGAGGCGAGGAGAGAGTCAGGAGTGGGTAATAAAGTTCACGGAGGACCAAACAGAGATCCTGAGGTCCCTGATTGCTCTGCAGGCGGAACACATGAGTGCTCGACTCCCCCTTATTCCTGGGGGAATTCTGCATCACTAAGTGTTTGCAGAATTAATGTCCCCCGCAGATTTCTTTGCTTCCCTGCAGAAGCAAAGGAAAGGCACAAGAGCAGTCATGTACCCCTCTTTGACAGCACAGGCAGGTCGGTTCAGGCACCCGGAGCAGCTGGTAGAAATATAAATGAGATGGGATGGGCAGCCATGCGTGCGTGCGTGCGAGAGAAACTCTGTCCCTCTCGCTTGCTATTGCAGCACACTTGGCATGAAGGGGCAGGGCTTTAGGGTGTTCTGAAGAGGTAGGCTAGGGGCAAGCTCTGTCCCCTCAGGTAGAGCAAAATGTAGCAGCCTGCCTGCTTAGTAATGGTTCCCACTGTCTTTGTGAATTCCCCCAGGAGTATAAAACAGGTGTAAAATTTTTAAGGCTCCTTTACATTGCCAAAGTTATGTAAAGGACACATGGCCTTATAAATGCTATGGTTACTTTAGTGATTAGATAGAACTGGTCTAAATTTTTGGACTGAAAAAATTTTCTACCAAAATGTGCTCCATGAACTGTTTGCAACCTACCTTTCTGCAGATGGTCAGTAGCCAATATAAATTGTGGGTTTGATTCCCCAGCTTCACTTGCCTATGATGTAACACTGAGCATATGATTGCATATATTTGTTGACTAATAACTAGAAATAAAGTATCAAACCTAGCTACATTACTATAAGGCAAGGCAGGTTGGGGATTTCCTCCAATGCTCCCCACTCCCATTCTCCATCCACTGTACCGTAGTTTAAATAAATCACCAAAATAATTGAAACCAGTGTGATATTGTGTTAGTTTGACAAATAAAACGTGGAATTTTGCAGATTTTTAAACTATTGTGCACAGAATTTTTCATTTTTTGGCGCAGAATTCCCCCAGGAATCCTCCTGCAGCCCATACAGAACTGCATTCCTTGCCCTCCCCAAAGACACTCCTCTCGCATTCCTGCCCCGTAGCAGTCCCTTGCAGTGGAGTGCAAGCGGTACATTTTCCATAATGACAGCTAGCCTTTCTGAAGTGAGGATCTCACAGCTGCATGAGAGTACTGTTCACTGTCATGTCCCTTGTAAGAAATATGAATCTGTGTATTGCCTTTAATAAAAAAGGAGTCTTACAAAGACAGTGATTCTTTATTTGTGACCTACACAAGATGGTTGCAACAAAAATTCAAACAGTGACAACTGCCACATTTGCAGACTACAATTAATACTCAGGCAGACATCGTTACAGGGGTCATTCAAGGTGGCAAGTAAACAATGCCTGGCTTAATTCATTACAGAAAGACACATTACTGGGGCTCATTGTCAAAATGCTGCTTCAAAGCCTCCCTGATTCAAATAGCCCCCCATTGTGCCCCTCTAATAACCCTGCTGT